TGGAGCCATTATGGGGCCAATCAAGAAAGACGAGAGAATAAGATACTGGACTAAAGATGTAAAGCAAGAATTGATTAGACAAAATAATGCAAATAGCTAAATCTCCCACAGGAAAGACGTGTCAATGTAGTTGTAGATATGTGGTTAGATATTTGTGGTTAACTCATATGGCTATTTTTAGATACTCTGTCTTTATTACGTTTATGAAGCTACTTTTGGGCAACTTCGTTTGCCAGAAGTTTCTTCTTTGGGAACTCTGGTAAGGCACTGGTTGGCTTACAAGGTCGGGTGGCCTGGGTCTGACTGTTGGGCCAGCACCCCATTAGGACTTCACTCTCCCATTGGGTCTGCCTGCTCCTGAGCCCCTATTAAGGGAAAAGCACACAGAGTCAACAGTGGCTTTAGTTTTCTGAATGACAAACAGAGTTTAAAACCTGGAGGATGCTATGCTGTGTCTCTCCAGCAGCTCAAGGGTGTTGACTGATCTCACGGCACATCGTTCACCCACAAGCTGACTAAGTGAGAGCAGTGGCAGGGGTGGGGCATCTCCTCAGCTGAGCATGTCCTCAGGGATGAGTGGGGTGCTGTGGCTGGAACCCATCATCCCATGTTGGTTGAGTACTGTCCTGGGGCTAAGAATGCAGCACTGAACTAAATAATGTCCCTGTCCTCCTGGAGTGACATCTGAAGGGGAATGAAGACTATAAACAAATATAGAATGTAAAAAAATGAGGTAGGTGAAGGAGAGAGGAGGTGAGAGTTTGGGGGATGGATTTTAGATGAGGGAGTCAGGAAAGGTCCTCTGAAGATGTGACATGACAGAGACCTAAATGAAGAGTAAGAGCAAACCTTGTGGGGAAAGAGGAAAGGGCAATCCAGGAGAGGGGAAAGCCCGGCGGCGTGGCTGTGTGCTCAAGGAATAGGCCTGGTGAGGGTGAGCTCAGCTTGTTATTATTATTATTATTATTTTATTTATTTATTTATTTTAGGAAGATCAGCCCTGAGCTAACATCTGCTGCCAATCCTCCTCTTTTTTGATGAGGAAGTCTGGCCCTGAGCTAACATCCGTGCCCATCTTCCTCTGCTTTATATGTGGGACGCCTACCATAGCTTGGCTTGACAAGTGGTGCCATGTCCGCACCCAGGATCTGAACCCATAACCCCAGGCCGCCCAAGCGGAACATGCGCACTTAACCGCTATGCCACCGGGCCGGCCCCAGCTTGTTATTATTAACTGTTTGATGAGGGGTGGAGTGGTTAGCAGACCGTTTGTAGCTATTGAGCACTTGAAATGACCAAACTGAGATAGGCTATAAATGTAAAGTGCATACTAGATTTCAAACACTTAATTGCCCCCAAAAGTAAAACTGCTTAGCTTTTTTTGTAATTACATGTTTAAATGATAGTGTATTAGATATATTGGGTTAAATAAAATTTGTTATTTAATTTCACCTATTTCTTCGTACTTTTTAAATGTGGCTGTTAGGCAATTTAAAATGAGTTATGTGGTTCACATTTCATTTCTATTGGACAGCATTGGTCTAGAGACCTGGGTGCTGCTCTTATGTGGTCTGAGTCTTGGACTTCTGGTTTCTGCTCTATAAGGAAAGAATTTGGAAGTCATCTTTCCTGCCCTCATAACAAGAAAAAATGGAATTAATGAAAATTGAGAGAGAATTGAGGTCAGAGGACAAACAGCCACCCCCAAAACTGGAGAGATGGGCAAATGCAGAGAACACAGTTCAGTTTACCTAAGGCAGAAGCCACTGGAACTGGGAGCTGGTAGGAAGACTGAACAGATAATTTGGGTGATTTCCAGAGGCTGAGTCTAGACTCATTTGAGAGTTAAATACTCCTGGAGGCCCAGAGTAAGGTGCAGGGGAGCTCCCACAATTTTATGGGGTTTGCCTTCAGGAACCCCATCGGGTTCTCACAGTGAATATCCTAGAAAAATCCCCTCATGTTTGGCCACGGGGAGGGGAAAAGCAACCGTTTCTAAATAAGCCCAGAGAATTCTCCACAACAAAGGCCTCTCACCAAGGAGAAGCTATTAACCATAGCTTTATCTGACTTGGAGGGAGGGAAATTACCCAACTCTATTCCCCTCTGAGAGTCTTCCTGTCTCGTATAAACGGGAAAAGCACTCGTGTAGGTTCCAGCCCAGGGCGCAGGCCTATTAAAAGACCAAGTCCTAATTATAGGATTACAGAATGCTTACCCTCCCATCAACCTTACCACCACATCAACAGGGCTCCTGTATAATAATGTAGATTACAGCTGAAAGAATTATAACGCTCTCACTCTATTTAAGAAGCCATTTATAGGGAAACCAAATACAAAAGAGGAGACAAAAACAAGGACACTAGGACAAATTGAGGTCTCTGACGTGGACAGCTATAGCAAACAGTAGCCTAACTCCTACACAGGAAAACAAAACTTCACACCAAGGCCTATTTACCTCAGTTCCTTTTACCCAGTACATCATGTCTCAGGTTCAAGCAAAAATTACAGGCATACTAAAAGGCAAGAAAAAATTACAATCTGAAGAGACAAAGCATCAGAATCAGACTCACATGTGGCAGAGGTTTTGGAATTATCAGGCTGGGATTTTAAAGTAACTTTGATTAACGTGCTAAAGGCTCTAACAGAAAATTGGACAACATGCAAGAACAAAGGGGTAATGTAATCAGATAGATGGAAACTCTAGAAAAGAGTGAGAAGATAAACTAGAAGTTAAAAACATGGTAACAGAAATGAAGAATGTCTTTGGGGGGGTCATCAGGAGACAGCCGAGGAAAGAATGAGCGAGCTTGAAGATTTGTCAATAGAAATTTCCCAAAACGAAATGCAAAGAGAAAAAAGAATTTAAAAACTGGAACAGAATATCCAAGAACTGTGGGATAATTACAAAGGGTTTAACATATGCATAATGGGAATACTAGAAAAAGAAAGAGAGAGACGCAGACGAAATATTTGACATAACAATGGCTATGAATTTTCCATTATTAATGAAAGAAGCCAAATAGCAAATCCGGGATGCTCAGAGAACATCATGTAGGATAAATAAGAAAAAGTCTGCACCGAGGCATATCACATTCAAACTGCAGAAGCCAAAAACAAAGAGAGAATCTTGAAAGAACCTAGAGAGAAAAAACACTATCTACGGATGAACAAAGATAAGAATTACATCAGATTTCTTTTCACAAATCATGCAGGCAGGATCACAGTGGAGTGAAATATTCAGTCTTGAAAAACAATCAGCAACATAGAATTTTGTGTACTGTGACATCATGTTTCAAAAGTAAAGGAGAAATAGAGTTTCTCAGACAAACAGAAACTGGGGGAATTTGTCTCCAGCAGACTTGCCTTGCAAGAAGTGCTCAAAGAAATTCTTTAGAGAGAAGGAAAATGATATAGTTCAGAAGCTTGGATCTATAGAAAGAAAGGAAGACCATCAGAGAAAGAATAAATGAAGGCAGAATACAATGTTTATTCATTTTTATTGTGATCTGATCTACTAAATAACTTTCTCCAGAGTCAGAGCAGCAACAGTACTCTGGTTGATTGCTGCACATGGATAAGTAAAATGAATGACAGCCACGCAGCAATGGACAGGAGGGCGGAGCTAGGAGTATTCTGAAGCAGCATGGTGTTATTTGAAAGTGGATGTGGATTAGTTGTAAATGTATGTTACAAACTCTGGGGAATCCACTAAAATTTTTTTGAAAAAGAAGTTTAATTGATATGCTAAGAGAAGACATAAAATTGAAACATATAAAATGCTCATTTAAAACAAGAGATGGCAGAAGAAGAGGGGGAGATTTAAAAAAGAACAAACTCAATGAATAGAAAATAATTTCGAACAGGAAAGGATGAACAAACTGTGCTACATCCATACGTGGAATATTCTTCAGCAATAAAAGGAAATGAGTGCTCAAGCCATGAAAAGACATGGAGTAAACTTAAATGAATAAGCTAATGAAACGCGTCAGTCTGAAGGCTACATACTGTATCATTCCAACTACATGACATTTTGGAAAAGGCAAAACTATAGAGATGGCATCTTAGTCCATTCAGGCTACTGTAAAGAATACCATAGTCTGGTGGCTCATAAACAGCATAAGTTTATTTTTGCAGTTCTGGAGGCTCGGAAGTCTAAGGTCAAGATTCCGGCAGATTTGATGTCTGCGGAGGGCCAGCTTCCTGCTCTGGGGTTGGTTGGCTGTCTTCTCTCTGTGTCGTCACAGTGGAAGGTGAGGCAGCTCTCTGGGGTCTTTTATAAGGGCATTAATTCCATTCATGAGAGCTTCTCTCATGACCTAAGCACTTGCCAAAGGCCCTACCTCCAAATATTGTTACACTGGGGATTAGGTTTCAACATATGAATTTGGGGGAGGAACACAAACATTCAGTCTATAGCAGAGACTGAAAAGTTCAGTGGTTGCCAGGGTTTGGGGGGAGAGGTGAGTAGGTGTAGCACAGGGGATTGTCAGAATGGTGAAACCATTCTGTATGAGACTCTAATGGTGGTTATATGTTTTTATGCATTTGTGAAAACCCATAAAACTGTCCAGTGCTAAGAGCAAACCCTGATGTAAACTATGGACTTAAGTTAATAGTAATATGTGAATATTACTTCCACAATACTGAGTTTTGAGTGTCCTTTATATATCTTAGTTACAAGTCCTTTGTCAGAAATATGGTTTGGAAATTATTCCATTGTATGGATATAACCCTAATGTACCACACTAATGCAAGATGTTAATAATAGGAGAAACAGTATTGGGTGTTGGGGTGGGATGGACATATGGAATTGTATTACTACCTGCTCAATTATTCTGTAAAATTAAAACTGTACTAACAATAAGGTATATTAATTATTTTTAAAAGTCTGAGTCTCATTTTTCCTCACTTTACAATGAGGATAGGATTAAGCTATCTCTTATATTCCTTCCATCTTTAACATTTATGATTTTCTTCTTTTAAATATATGTACTTTAGTGCTTGCTTCCACAGCACATATACTAACATTGGAACAATACAGAGATCAGCGTAGCCCCTGGGCAAGGATGACATGAAAACTGGTGAAGTATCCAATGTTATAAACCAATGTGATCTCAACAAAATAAATAAATTAAAAAAAGTATATATATATATATATATATATATATATATACTTTATTTTTTAGAGCAGTTTTAGATTCACAGCAAAATTGAGCAGAAATAGAGGAAGATGGGCACAGACGTTAGCTCAGGGCCAGTCTTCCTCAAAAAAAAATAAATAAAGGCCATATGTTATCCAGATCATAGGCATTGGAGATCATCTGAAGCATTATGTCATGATCAAAGGTTTGGGAGACAAACTTCCAACAGGCCTCGTCTGGACGTCTTGGGAAAGCTGTCTCATAAGATGTTGTCTGCTTCAGATTCAGGAAATCTTTACTTTCAGGTCACCGGATGATGTGGAGGTCCAGTTAGAGTTCGGTGCTTTCTTTAGGTGTGTCATGTGAATCCAAGAGTCTGTTCCCTGGAGTTTTGCAGCACAAGGGTTAGTTAACAGTACCCAATAGAGGCCTTTCCAGTGAGACTGGAGAGGTGTCTTTTCCAATAGACGACATCTCCAGGTTGCAGGGTGTGATGCTTAAAATCTTCGTCTCCCTGGAATGCAATGTGAAAAGATTGCTCTAGCAAAACCTGGTTATTTTTAATAGAAGCAATTAGATATTTCCAATATTGGAGTATATCTCCTTTATCAGCTGTGGGTCAAATGAGACAGGAGCCAAGTGCATTGGGCATCCCGCGATTATCTCAAAGGGTGAAAGTTTATGAGTTCCAAAGCGAGGTGGATCTGAGATTTAGAAGGACCAATGGCAATGCTTTTGGCCAAGGTATTTGGAGGGTCTCTACAAATTTGGCCGACTGAGTCTTAATAACGCTGTTAGTGTGTTCGACTAAACCAGAGGCCTGAGGGTGGTGAGCACAGAGAAAGTGTAAAACAGGCCAAAGAGCACAGACCTGTTGAAGTCCCTGACCAGTAAAATGGGTTCCTCGATCACTATGAAGCTTGAGAGGAGTTCCCCAGGGGGGATAATCTTTTCTGAAAGGGCTTTAGCCACAGGAGAGGCAGCAGCCTGTCTGCAACGGAAGCTTCAGTCCAGTGAGAAAACGTGCAGACCAGGACTAAAGCATATTTATCTCCACGAGACGGGGCAAGCTGTATGAAATCCACTTGCCAAACCTCAGATGGTCCATTGGGCAGTTTAAAATGTCCGGGGGCAGTATGAACAGGCTTCCCTGGACTGTATTTTGGACAAATGGGATAAGTGAGGTGGGCACTTTTTGCTGCTATGTTAACATTCCCCACCAATATGGATTCATGAATATGTTCATGAATATTATTGTTTTGTTGGTGGACCAGTGGTTAAATGCGTGCACAATGGTTAGAAGTGGGGATTCTGGAGACTCTGGTAGGACTGGCTTGTTATTTGGTCTGAACTAGAGCTTTCTCTTTTGTCAAACCAACAATTGATGAATTTCAAATCTTGTTTTTCCTTTTCTGAGGCCAACTGTTGGGCTTTTCTAGTTAGTTTTTCTAAGTTATCATTTGAGAAAAGATCCCTTTGGATCACGACAGAGGCCTGGCTGCTGTTGGTTTCTTTAAGGGCTGCATTTCTTGCAGAAATATCAGCAAGGTGATTTCCTTTAGCTTCTAGAGAGTCAATTTTAAGAATGCCCTGGGATCTTGATAATAGCTAAAGCAGCAGGTAAAAGTACAGCACCCAATAATTCCTGAACATAGGGGCAATTTTAAATTTTATTTCCACTAGAAGTAAGGAAGTGACATTGTTTCCACAACATTCCAAAATCATGAGCTACTCTGAAAGCATGTCTATTATCAGTATATATATTGGCAGCTTTGCCCTTGGCTAAAGTACAAGCCCATGTAAGAGCATATAATTCAGCCTGTTGGGCTGAAGAAGCCATAGGTAAAGGTGCTGCCTCAATGATATCAAAAGGAGTTCCAATGGCATACCCAGCAGAGTATTTGCCACTGTCACCTTTTAAATAGGAACCAAGTTGGTGTTACCCAAAGGATTTCCTACAGATCATCACGAGGAGTCAGGAGGTGATCCGTCAGCATTAGGCAGGAATGAAGGACTTCATCCTTAACGGAGGGGAGGAGAGTAGCAGGGTTAAAGTTATTACAGTGTAAAAAGGTTATGTGAGGAGCCGTTAACAAAAGGAGGTGAGGCAGCTGGCTGAAATATGTTGAGCGTGATGAGAATTCAGGAAGGCTTCTACTGCATGAGCTAAAAAATGGTTAAAGGGAATCCCACAATGCTTTTCTTGGTGGTCTTAAAAGGCCAGTGGCAGTAATGGCTCTAAGGCAAGCGGGGTGTCCCCACGCCACAGGATCCAGTTGCTGGCTATAATACCAGATGAGTCCGTGATGGTCTCCATGGTTTTGGGTGAGTATCCCAAGGGCATTCCTTTCTTTTCATATACAAAAAGAAAAAAGGGAATCTGACAACTGGGATGTCCAAGGGCAGGTGGTTTCATCAAACTCCTTTAAGGCCTTAAAGGCTATGTCATCCAATTCTTCCCATAAAATTGGGTTGAGGTTGTTGTTCTTTAGTAAAAGATACAGAGGTTTGGCCATAAGAGAAATTTGGAATTCAGTTTTGGCAGTGACCAATGAGAAAACCTTGCAGTTGGTGCTTAGTTTTAGGTTTGGGGAAACTGAGGACATCATGAAGCCTGTCTGGATCTGGATGTAGCTCTTGTTCTGATAGCAGATGCTCTAAATGTTGAACCTAGGTTTGGGCAAACCGCAATTTCTCCTTGGCAGCTTTATGTCCTTTTAAGGCTGAAAGCTTTAGCAAGTGGAGGCTGTCTTCCCGGGAGGAGGCTTGGGAGGGCGAGCAAAGAAGCAAATCGTCCACATGCTGCAACAAAGCACAACCCCTAGGGAACTTATATTATCCAGATCAGCCTTCAGGATTTCTGGAAAATAAGAAGGGCTCTTAGTAAAACCCAGAGGCATTACTGTCCAGGTGATATGTTTTCCTTCCCAAGTGAAGGCAAGAAGGTGTTGACTGGCTTCATCAATTGGAGTGCTAAAGAATGCACTGCATAAATCAATTACTGGAAGGTATTCGCTCCAGTGGGAATGGACGTTAGTCACATGGGAGGGCTGGGAACAACAGGTGTTGAGGGATAACAATGTTGTTTACTGCTCAGAGGCCCCAGACAAAGCTCCACCCTTGGCCCTTGGGTTTCCTGGAAGGTAAAATAGGAGTATTACAGGGTCTAGTACAAGAGATAATGAGGCCCTCGGCCTTGTAAGCTTCTCTTACGGGCTTTATACCTTGAAGGGCTTCTTTAGTTTTAGGGTGTTGGTTAATTCTGGGGAGAGGTTTTGAGGGATCTATCTGAATCTTGATGGGCGATGCCATGTGAATTTTACCAATAGCAGTTGGAGATTTTGCCACTGAGGGTGGTTGCTGTCCATGGGGAAGAATGATCAATGTTTCTAGAATCAGCTCTAGTACCACAAGAGACGGAGCAAAGAAAAGATGTCAAGGGGTCATTTAATTCATGTAGTTGGCTTTTTTGAATAGCTACTATCAAATTCTAGAATTATTTCCCCCTTTCGGGAAAAAGAAATCCCAGCATGATACTTTTTGAAGAAGTCTCGGCCGAATAAATGAATAGGGGCAGAGAAACTAAGGAGAACAGGATGTGCACCTCTCAGAGGGGTTAAATAAAAGGGAATAGGTTCAGAGGCAGGAACCTGCTGAGGTTTATTAGAAATTCCCACTGTTTGAACTGTTTTAGTACCTTGAGGCAGGGGCTGCTTTACAGTAGCGTGTTGAGCACCAAGAGCGTGGCTCTGGTGTCGCTTAGGACAGAAGGAGATTCATTTCCAATCTGGAGAAATGTTTCTCCAAGCCTGTTAAGAGGGAGGATTAGGAAGAAGCCCTGTAGTTCCTCAGAGCCCTGTCACTCAGAATTCGGAGGACATTGGAACGGCTGGTTAGAGGGTTGAATGTGCTTGAAGCAATTAAATTTGTAACAATCTCTTTTCCAATGTCTGGCTCTTTGCAGTAATAACAGAAACTAGGAGGTTTTTGGTTTCATTTAGGGCCTTCATTTGCTGGAGTTGAAGATTAAGAATTTTAGTGGTCTTTCATTTAGGTGACTCATCTAGGGTGGGAGAGAGTTGGTTTGCCAGATTAACTAAATCTGGAGTGGATATAGTTTTCTATTTTATCCTGGTCCTTTTTACTAGAAGGGAAGGGTCCCTGTTCGGCCCACTAATAAACATAGAGTTAAAAGCTACCTAGGTAGAACCAACGTCTGAAGGAAGACCAGAATTTTCTGTAAAGACAATCTAAAGTTGATTGTAACAGTTATGAACAGGTTCATCATGTTTCTGTGCACTGCCTGAATTTTGGGAAAGCCCTAGGAATTGCCTGATGAGGTCATCCAGCAATTGCCCAAGCCTAATCATACCATAGGTCTCTAGGTTGTAACTCTAGAGATCTATCAGGATTTTCCCAATTAGCGGTTTGCATCCAATGCTGGGCCTGCTCTTCACCAACAAGCATATGAATAGCTGTTGTAAGTCAGAGAAACCAGGTTGATAAGTTTGAATGACTACATTAAATTCCTCAGCAAATCTGTAAGGATCTTCCGTTACTTTGGGAAAATTTTTGACTGTTGCTCACAGTTCAGCTTTAGTTCAGGAAATATAAGAAATTAAGGGCTTAGCCTCTGGATCCTCAGGAGGCTTAATTTTAAGGGGACAGGTGCCCATAGGTTCAGAGGAAGAGGGAGCAGGGAGACGTTCAGGAAAAAGGACAAGTTTGGCAAGAGTGTTAGTATGAAGGAGCTGAGAGTACAGAGGAAGTGTAGATGGTGTAGAAAGGAGGGAGAAGGTGGCACCAGAGGCAGAACCTGAGCAAGGGGAGCCAGGGGAGAGGAAAATGATGGTGCTGGAGGAGGAGAACATGCGGCTTCAGAAGCCATTTTATCTTTCTTTCTTTGCCTCAGTTAATCTCAAAATTCTATTTTACAAAGAGATAATTTTAGACTCCTGGTAATGTTTGGAAGCCTCAAAATTCCAATCAAAATAAGCATTCCATTCAGTTTTGGAAATTACAGAGAATTTGTTACCACACAAGGTGGGGTGGGGGGGGGCAGTCATCTGCTTGCAGCAAGACATGCCAATGGTCAAGAGGCAAGGTGGTAGGAGAGAAAAGGCTTTATTACAGCTTGCTAGCAAGGGGGAAGATGGCTGACTAATGTCCGAAAGATCCATCTTACAGAACAGAGACTACAGACAGTTATATAGGGGGCTGGCCTCTGGGTGGGGCAGACATCTGGTCCCAGTTCCTGGTAGTCTTTTGTTTACTGGATGTGCATCAGAAACCGGAGCAGCGCCCTATACCCTGATCTTTCACTTGTCACTGATGACGGCTATCGGTATAGGCTCTCTGCCCAGGGGGTCATCACATTCCTAAGGAACTCAAAGGAACAAAGTCATCAACTTATAGCAGCTGCGAGGGACCATGAAATCTACAGAACATGTCTGGGTTAGTAATCAGAGGTCATTCAGTGTTACAATATAGTTTCTTTTCTACAATATGGCTTCCTTTATATCAACATTATGTTGAGCTGATATCACTATGGTTGTCCAATTTGGTTTTAAGAAAAGTAAGTTTGGAGAGTTCAAAAGTTCCTCATAATGGCCGTTGATATTCTAAGTTACTTTTGGTTAAATTGGTTCATTTAGTTAGAAATGCATGTGAGGAATGACCATGATTTTGAACATAAAATTGGCCAAAGTCCCATGGGAGGGGTGCCCTCAAAACATTTAGATAACTGATCTCTCATTTCTTAGAGATTTTTCTCTAGAGCAAAAGAATAATTCTTAAATATCTTAAACAGCTCAAACAGCTTAAATAGTTTGTAACTCAAACATCTTGAACAGCTCAAACGTCCTACAGGCTTAATACTGGCCAGTTCCAATAGAACACTCCAACTTCAGTATGACAAATTGAAGGTCAGATCAACGCGGTTCCACAGAACAGCCTGGTTCTCAAGGGAATTGGACTGAAGGTTGACCAACAAGTTGATCACAGTCACAGTGGTCAAGGGCACAGTCTGCTCCCAGGAGAGTCCGGCTGAAGGCTGGACCAGCACACTTCCAATGAACTGTCCAAAACCAGACTGAAGGCTAACCAGTTTGAGTAGAAAAAGTCTGGTTCTAAAAGGAATCAAACAGAAGGCTAGTGCAGTTCAAAGAAACAGCCTGATTGAGAGTCAGGCTGAAGTGCTACCTGAGCACGTGTGGACACACAAATCCTCAACCAGAAGAAGATGAAGCCTTAAAACAGATCTCGAATAAAGCCTGGAGAGTCTCAAATGCAAAAGGGGTGGGAGCTCGAATTGGTAGGAAGATGTACCCGGAAGTACACGGTGGGTGAGAGAAGCAGGGGCTCGATGGGCTCTTTTTTTTTTTTACCTTAAGCAAATAGACTGTCAGTTACTTCTCCAGCAAAAATGGGTTTATTTGGGATCCACAAAGAATTGCAATTTGGGGTCTGCAACTATAGTAGGCCATGCACAAGTCCCCCCACCAGCAAAGGAGGAGGAGCTGTTTTACAGAGGGGAAGAGGAAGTTGGGAGGGCTGCTGTAAACCAAGAGTCCATTGGAGGAACAGAGAGTTCAATGTGTAGTGGCTTTTCGTTGGCTGAGCTGTGACAGGCTCTCATTGGCTGAGATTCTTGCTGGTCAAGAAGAGAAAGTCTTTCTTCTTCCTGTTGGGCTCTGCTACTGAAGTAGGGCACGAGAGCTCCCCTTTTGGCCTCCTGACTCTGCTTTGATGAGGTTTCTGTTTATTAATTTGGCAAATCGATGAACCTAAATTAGCACATTCTTATTACCCAAAGTCCATAGTCTACATTAGGATTCATGCTCAGTGTTGTAGATTCCATGGATTGGACAAATGTGTAACTAAATGTATTCATCACTGCAATATCATACAGAAGAGTTTCACTGTCCTAAAAATCGCTGTGCTCCACCTATTTATCCCTCCCTCCCTCTAACCTAACCGAGATCTTTGTTGGGCTAGAATAGTTCTGTATCTTAATTTTGGTGGTAGTTACACAACTCTACACATGTGATAAAATGACAGAACTATACACACACATTGTACCAACGTCAATTTTCTGGTTTTGTTACAACACAAAATTGGGGTTCTCTTGCCTGGTGCACACACACACACAAAAAGCCAATTATTACGACATCAACTTTTGGTAAAAGAAAACAGCTTTATTGTTAGATCACTCTGCAAGGAGACAGGGGCATATGCTCTCAGATCTGTCTTCCCAGTTCAGGGCTTGGGCTAAAATTTATGGGATGAAGGGTAGGGCAGTCTGAAGCGTGGAGATAGATGATTGGAGGTAAGAAGTAAGATAGCTGATGATCTGTGCAAGTGTAATCAAGCTCCATGGCTCTTCATAGGACACGTTCACAAAATGGTGGTGTTAGCATGATCTGAGGATGGAGTTTTTAGCTCTATGTCATCAAAAAGGTCACTTATTGGGCATTTGCACAGGCCTGGTTGATGGATTGGTGGTCTTAACTGGCCTTGGCGTCTCAGTTCCTGAAAAAACACTCTTGCTTACTCTGTTGATAAGATGGGGTCAGTTGAACTGGTCCTAGAGGGCCTATGGTTACAGTTTTGATATTGTACTATAGTTACTGAGATGTAATCACTGGGGCAACCTGGTAAAGGGTACATGGGACTTCTTTGTACTATCTTTGCAACTTCTTGTGATTCTGTAATTACTTCAAAATAAAAAGTTAAAAACATTTTAAAATGTTTTTGTTCAAATAAAATAGCTCTGAATTTTCGGAGAAAGGTTTAGAAAAAGAGAAACTCAACTTCTTGGAAGCTCTGCACTCTCTTAGTTCTATGTTGCAACTAAGCAAACATTAGTGGTGTTCGTGTATCACAGAGCAGAAGACCAAGCTAAAAAAGGAAAAAACTAACTTTGTGATGTGGTGAAATAAAAAACAATTCCTTTTTAGGGAAGCATCACCTGAAGTGATTTAAAGTGGTATAGAAAACACAACGGAAAGCTACTAACACAAAAGCTCCCTCAAGAATTTTAAAATGCTCATTTTCATTCCTTAAGACTATGTTAACTTCACTTGTTCCTGCAAGGAACAGAAAACCCAATAGTCAGCTACAGAAGTTCTTAGGGCAGACGTGCAGCTATTAGATTAAGGAAGTGTTTGGCATCCCTGTTCTGGCATTCTCAGGGGAAAGACTGTTCGTGTCATATTATCAAAAGTCAGAAGTCAGTCAACATTTTACACTTTTTATGTACTTTTTAATGTATTTGTGGTTTTTTGTTCAGTTTGACTTAATAGTTGAAAATATGCCCTCCGAAAAGGTATTCATTTCTGGGTGGGTAAAAGGATCTGCCCAGTGTCACATATTCTAGAACAATTTTACCTAGTTTAACTTATATTTGCCAAAAAAATAAAGAATTCAAAGGACCAAGCAATTCTTACAGATGAAGTTGCCACTGCCAATACAAGATAAGCTAAATCTTGTCGTAAAATTTAAAAAGTCTTCCTTTCTCTACGCTCCCTGCAATGGAAGCTATCAATGTTTAGGGTTTAAAATAAAGTCTAAGATGCTCAGAGACATTAAGTCATTTTGTCCTTTACTGTGCAACAGTGCTTTTAGTAAAAGGATTAAAGGAAGCCGACTCTGAAGCTCCCCAGAGTCCGAACGCCGAAAAGCCCCTCTCCACCTTCCGGTAACGCTTTCGGGTCTCGACTGCCCGCCCTCAACATCCAGCCGAGACCCGGAAGACGCGCGCCGGCCCGCCCACACTGAACGGCTGGGGCAAGGATAGAGGCGGAGCATCCCGGATAGAAGATGGCGGCCATTGGACGCTCTGGGCTGCCGCTGCCACGACTCGGTAGCCGGAAGTCCTCCGGCCCTCTCCGTCAGGAAGCGGAAGTAAAGGGCGGCGGCGGCTGGGCTGTTGCTTTGCCAGGCCGGCTTGTGAGCTGAGCGGCGGTAAAGGCGCGTGTCGGCCGCTCACTGGCGCAGCCGCTGCCGCCGCCGCTGCCGCCGCCCGGCCCCGCCCCGGCGTTGTCTCAGGCGCTGTCGCGGAGGAAGCGCGGCCCCGGCATGGGCAGGAAGGGGGACGCGAGCGGCGTGTGTGCCGCGGCTGCGCGGCCGGTGACAGGTACCCCTGGGATGGTGTGGGAGGTCTCGTGGACCGGGAGAGGGTTTGGGGCGCGGGACGACTGTGTGTCCTGGTCACCTTGAGTTTCCACTTCCTCTTCCCTGACTCACTGACTCAGTTTCACGTCCCATGCCTGTCCCCCATTTTCGAATCACCCCCTCCCGGCCCCCATTTTCGAGTCCCCCGAGTTGTCCCTCATTGGTCTTCTGGGCAAATTATCGTTTCTGCGAGGGTGGCCGCGGGCTCTCCTTAGCCATTCTGAGCCTTCATTGAAAAGATTTGAGACCCACGTGCCCAAGGGCAGAGGAGGTGGGGGAAGTGCCCTAACATGAATGTAGACCAAGCCTGACCCTAAGTAGATTGAGAACCAGCAGTTTGCAGGACGCTGATTGGAGAATGACCTGATCTTTTTATAGATTGCTGTTTTCCCTAAAATGAATTTGGGCGATGCATATTGGTTGCCCTTTTCATTTAATTCGAGGATCTGTCGGCTGGAAATTAGATGGTCCGGTTTGACTTTTATTGCAGGACCTGCCAGAAGAATCAGATCTGCGTACATCGCCAATAAGTTATGGATGTGAACTTGGCCAGAATGTCTAGATTGTTTTGCATTTCTTTCCAGATTTGAGAACTAGCATGTTCTGTTCATTGGAAGACCTGGGGTCTTATGCTTGACTGTGCTGCACTATTTTGGAAACATTGGTCATGCGCCGCCAGCCGATTTTAGTGCTGTGTTTGGAGATGTGTTTAACAGCTCTTTAGCAACACCACAAAACTTGGGGAGATTGTAGCCTTTCCTCTTGGCTTGCTTTGGATAAACTTAGCTGAAACTCACTTTTATCGAAGGAAGTGCACATTGCCTTGTACGGCAGCATGGCACTTTTACAAAGTGTGTTTAACTTGGGAATAAGTTGAACTATGAAGAAAATTCTGTTGGACTTTTTCTGCAGTTACCTGTGATCATTTTCATATCAGATATATAGTTTTACTACTTTTACTGGAAATTAGATTTCTGTGGTTAACACATGGTTTTGTAATGGTATAAATGTATATTAAATTTAATTGTTTGAGGAGTAAATGTATTTCTCAAGAAGGGTACTTCCTAATATCATTTATGTTGAAACTCAGATGGCTGTAAACTTGCTGGGTGCAAGTTGTTTTAAGAGTTTGTTAGCTGTTATCTTCAGTTTAAAAATGAAAGAAGAAAAAGTTGGTGACGACTTAGAATTTTATGCCTCTTCTGTTTCCTGTAAAGTGAAAAGCATTTGCCACAATATAACTTTTATTAATATTTCCAGTATCTTACTGTAGATCAATGAGGAAGAGATAGTCTTGAATTTAAGGAAACCGGGTCACAGACTAGGTCTTACAGATGATACATTTGGGCCTAGAACTTTTTAAAGAGTGTTTTTTATGTATCCATGCCACAAGCATTATGCCTATGATCATGCAATGCCGCATTGCAGATTCTGACAGCTATTATTTCTCAGACTATTCATCCTTATAAGGAACACTTAAGGACCCCTAGGGTCAGAGTGACGAGAGCTCGTGAAATGAAGGCATCCTTGAACAGAAGGCCACTGTGGTGAGGTTCTGGCCTCTGCTTCTCTGGTATTCCCTGCAGGATCAAGGATGTGGAGTCAGGGTGGGAGAGCCCTTCTTTGAGGTACAGCTTTCCTCCCTTTCTCACCTCTCGTGGTGCTATACGTTGCCCCAAGAACTCTTTTTTTTTTTTTGAGGAAGATTAGTCCTGAGCTAACACCTGCTGCCGATCCTCCTCTTTTTGCTGAGGAAGGCTGCCCTGAGCTAACATTCATGCCCATCTTCCTCTACTTTATATGTGGGACGCCTACCACAGCATGGCCAGCCAAGCGGTGCGTGTCCACCCCCAGGATCCTATCTAGCAAACCCCGGGCTGCCGAAGCGGAACGTGCCATCTTAACTGCTGTGCCACTGGGCCGGCCCTCTCTGTCTCTCTTTTTAGAGAACAGTGCAAGGGGTCCTCTGGGTGAGTGCTGGTACACAGAGTTTTCATTTTTACCCTTCCTGAGTCCTAGGCTTTTTGTAGTTCCTTTGCCCTTCTCCTTTCTTTCCAGTTGTTTTCATTCATACCTTAATAGTGAAGCCTGTATTTGTTTATTTTATTTTGAGCACCTTCCGTGTCCCAGGTATTATGCTAGGCATGTGACTGTGACAGACAAAACTCCCTGCTCTTGAACAGCTCACATTTTCAGTCCCCAAAGCCAGCCGCAGAGCAGATCTGCCAGGCTGCTTGGTCAGTTTGCTCTGGTCCAACTTCAGGCCGGCACCCTTGGTTTCAGGTTGAAACTGTTCCTCGGCCGCCTGTGTCCCAAGGACTCTGCCCCAGAACATCCTTGGACTTGCCTCTGTTCTCACGAGAAAGCATTTGCTCAGTCTGGGTCTGCACAGTATGATTTCTCACCCTTTGTAAAGCCAGAGAAGCAGGGGAGAGAGCATGATACTGTAGAACTCTTAAAAAGGGGCAGATGTGGGTTCCAAGCATTGCCATAGATTAGTAGATTTCCTTCTTTTTAAAGTGGGAATGATAGGGTTTCGTCCATCATGCAGCGTGCTTAGGGAATATGTGCTGTTTGCCGGGTCCCATGCTCTGCACTGTGGTGACCAGAGCAGCCTGGCTGCCCCCTCAAGGAGCTGCTGACTCCCGGCTGCTGTGTGGGGACCTGCTAGCGTGGGGTATCAGAGCGCCTGACCCACCGCTTGCCCCCAGTGACTGCTCGGTTTCCTCAGGGCCTTTTGTCACTCCTGCTCCCACGCCATGCTGTGCCTGCAGTCCGCCTGGGGTCCCTGTGCCGTGGCGTCCAGTTTCTCGTCCAGAATCACCACTTTTGGGGGAATACACATCTGGGCCCGTTAGGAAAAATCGTAAACATGGCCATAGCGTAATACTGCTTGCACATAATTATATTCTATCACCACTTTAGAAACTTAGTGACTTTTGGGGAGGAGTTTTTTGATTTTTTTCCCCCTAACCACAGAGGATATATTTCCAAGGCGTATTTTTGAGGCCGTGTAATAATGATGATGTATTTTTGTGTAATTTAGGAGATAGTTTTTAGTTTCTCTTTCTTATGATAACATATTTTGTAGAAGAGTTAATTGGTATAGTACTTGGCGCTTTACGAAGTGGTTTCCAGGTTGCCTCTGCGTTTCCACAGTCACCGCTGTGGCAGATCCTGTTATCCTATTTCAGAGTCTGGGAGACTAAGGGCCAGAGAAGTTGGTAGGTAACATGCTTATGGTTGAACTGCTAGTAAGTAGCAAACTCTGTGATTGATTCCTGACTCTGAAAGGTCTGTTCACTAACCATGTTCACAGTCGTGAGTAGCAGGCTTCTGAGGCTGCAGTCCATGGCCCTGTAGGGAGGGTGTCTGAATAGTCCTAAGAGAGTTCTTGAGTGGTCTGAAATTGTATGTAAAACTTGTGTGCAAGTCCTTGCTTGCTCCTCTGCAGAAAGTGTCAGTAACTTTTGCTGGGTTCTGCAAGGGGCGTACATCATCTGCTTCCCTCCCTTCCCCCACGGGCCGGGAACGCTGCTGGCAGGTTTCACCGTGAAACGTCTAGTTTGGTTAGCTTTGGTCTTTGCAAATGTTGATTTTTCAAATACTTATTTATAAATGGGATGTTCGTATTAATTTCTTTTGTTTCCAAAGAAGCTATCAGAGCCTGAACTTAAAACTCTTCTAAAACTAACTTTTCTATTTGGTATAATTTATTTTGCTTTTGACCGTTGTTCTTTAGACATATTGTGTTTTATATGAAGCAGGATGTTGGTGCGGAAGATAATGCTTTTTGTAAAAAGAAGATACTGACTGGTTCCCCCCAGTATGGGCTGTCTCCCCCAGCAATAGGGTTTATAGTCAGTATGGAGGAATCGGGGCTGCCTGGGCGAGCCTGCCCAGACTCTGGCATTCAGAAGCATAAGTTTGGTTTGGTGTTACCGCCATATTCACATCCCCTTTGGTTCCGGTTCAAACGGGTGGGACTTGATGCAGACTTTTATGTAGGTCGGGGGCAGTCTCATTCGAGTTCTGTCAGGTCGACTTCCGGGAGGAGAAAGCAGATCAAAGAAGTTTGCAGCTGGAGACCTTTTTCTGAACTGATCTGAACACAGGGTCTGAGCGTGCTTGGGGAGGCTGCTGCCGGGAGCACGGGAGACCGCATTGTTTGGCCATGCTGATTTACTAGTGCCCCCAGCTTCCTTATTGTATAGGTGGGGACCCAGTGAGTTCTTGTATTTACTTTTTCCAGAACCTGCCTTTGCGTTCACGTTCAAGACCCATCGTGTTAGCTTCCTGGGGCTGTCGCACGAAAGCGCCACAAACCAGGCGGCTTACAACAACAGTTTATTGTCTTGGAGTTTTGGAGGCCAGAAGTTCTAAATCCAGGTGTCGCAGGACCATGTTCCCTCTGAAATGTGTAGGGAGGATCTGTCCTTGCCTGTTCTGGCTGCTGGTAGCCGCAGGCGTTCCTTGGCTTGCAGTATAATTCCAGTCTCTGCCGCCCTCTTGCCCTGGAGTTCTCCCTGTGTCTCTGTGCATGCCAGTCACTGTGCCCACGTTGCCCCCTTTTTATAACACCTGTCATACTGGATGAGGGCCCACCCTAGTGACCTCATTTTAACTTGATTACCTCCGTGAAGGCCTATTTCCAGTTAAGTTCATGTCCTGAGGTACTGGGGGTTAGGACTTCAATGTATCTTTTTGGGGGACGCTATTCAACCTGTAACACCCATTATTTGTGTTTTTGTCTGTCTCCGTTTTATTTACCCTCATGCTTCATACAGTATGGTTGTGTGCAACCTGCTGTGCTACCAGCTGACTTTTATACCTCTGTGTGGTGTAGACACCCCAGGAAATGAAGTGGAGCCTTTGTAGGAAAGAGTGTAATGAGCTGTACACCTTTAGTTATGGGTCAGTCACTCAGCAAATATCTATTGAACTATCTAGGTGCTGTTATATTTTGGAAGCATTTCTTTTTCTGTAATATTCATGTTATTTTGTGTCTCTATTAAGCTTTGGGTTTAAACATTTCCTTGTAGCAAAACTTTGTCTTTTTCCTTTTTAGGGGTTTGCTATAAAATGGGACTTCTGATTGTGCTCACTGGACTGTGGCTATTTTCCTCAGTAAAGGCAGATTCAAAAGCGATTACAACCTCTCTTACGACAAAATGGTTTTCCACTCCATTGTTGTTAGAAGCCAGGTAAGAAGACATGTTTTTCTCTCACGTTTGAGTAAAAATGTAGGCTCTGCTAGTGACTATTTAGGAGCTTTTTAGGAAGTGAGATGATCATCAAATGTATTTCGTAAGAGCCTCTTTCAGTGGCACTGTGCTGTGTGCCATTCAAAAGCTGTTCGAGGGGGCTGGCCCCGTGGCCGAGTGGTTAAGTTCACGTGCTCCGCTGCAGGTGGCCCAGTGTTTCGTTGGTTCGAATCCTGGGCCCGGACATGGCACTGGTCATCAAACCATGCTGAGGCAGCATCCCACATGCCTCAACCAGAAGGCCTCACAACAAATAATATACAACTATGTACCGGGGGGCTTTGGGGAGAAAAAGGAAAAAAATAAAATCTTTAAAAAAAAAGCTGTTCGAACACAGAATCTGTCAGTAGGATACGACTGTCATGATTCCTAGAGGTACTTAGGGACTTCTTGAGACACACAGATTGAATTGGTTAAATTATTATGCTATCTTCCAGGAAAAGTATAAATGTGATAATAAGGGAAGAGAGAATTGTACTTAAAGGGAAATTTCTATTTATTTGAATTACGTTTAAGAGGTATTTAATAAAAGGAAGAGAGGAGAGCTTGGCGAGGTGGGGGAAAGAGCATGTGCTCCTCCTAAGAACTTGGAGGAGACCCCAAGAGAAGAGTGCAGGAGGAAGCTGAGGAAATGACCAGATTTATCTCTTCTCGGATGGTCCTGTTCTACATTTTAACATCTCCAAAATCAGGGTGCATTTTAAATGTAAAATTAAGTTTCATAAAACAATGATATGTCTTAAAAAATACGATATAGTCAATGATATCTTGGGAAATTTTGTATTCCAAGTGTACTTTTAGTTAGTGTTTATAACATAAATATAACCAGATCCAGTTTTTTAATGTTTACAGATGCAAACTTATTTTCATTGTATCTCAAGTAATATATAGTTAAGACTTGCAGAGAAGCTTTCTAAAGCCTAAATTTAGGTAGTTGAAGGGCACGCACTTGATAAGTCTTAAAATTTGCTGGTGCTAGAAATTTGAACTGTTGCGTTACTTCACTTCACTTTGTGGTCTACCTTCGTGATCTTCAACCTGGAATTTTGTCGTCTAACATTTTCCCCTTAATCCCCAGAAAATGTGAATGAAGAGTTTTGTTATGTTGATTGTGTGTGGGAGTAGACACTTGTGTCTCCTAAGGAAAAAGGCTCATTTGGTATTGATAAGAGGACCAGGGGGAAAGTGGGCCACGTGGGAGCTGGTCTTGACTTGCTGTGGAGTCTCGTGGCCTTTCCGCTGAGCACACTTTTCTTCTGTCACTTCTCTGTGCCTCCCTTTTCTCAGCAATCAAATGGCAAAACACACTACGCATTGCATGTGTTTCAGAGTGATGTTACAACAACTAACTTGGCTGGGTTGAGCCCCTGACGTGTCAGAATCTTGTTGGATGGAGGGTGGTTGTGGAAGTGAGTGAGTGAAGGTTTGGTGAGATCCTAGACTTCCTGGGCCAGGACTCTAATAACTGAACTTTTTTTTCCCTTTTCACCAATCTTATTTTTGATGATTTGTCTGGTGTCAGTCTAGGTCCTTGAGATTTACTTTCACTTCCTAAATAATTTCGTACAGTTAACTGTAACAGATGTCTTATGATATTCTGCTTAACATTCGTAACTGAATTCCATTCCATTACTCACGCTAACTAGAGTCTTGGTTTTCGTACATTGTCTTAGAAGATTCTTATGGCACATACCTATGGACTGTTGAGAAAGTGTGCTAAAAATTGTCAGCCTTATTTGATCAATTTTTTCAGTTTCTTTGATCTCTATGAAGTGAGTATTGTATACTGTTTCCTTCAGCAACTTCCCCATCATAAACATTTCTCCTTTTAATGACGTCCTGGCCATTTGCCATTTTGGGTCACTATTTTTAGTCCTCTTCTGTGGCTACTTGGAGACAGTTTGCCAAGGTAATGGGACGTGCAGGCAACTCAGAAACGAGCTGTGCTTAAAACCATTCCATGTTCGCCTCCAGAGCTGTCTGGGCCGCCATTCTTCCTGTCTAGGTCCATGGCAGACACTGATGGTGGATCGCAGCACTGTCCGTCTCAGTGAGGGAGAAGGGACAGAATCGCTCTCCACGCCGCGAGGCATGCGGCTGTCCGGCCCTTTTGCCTTCCTTGCATCTAGCCCTTAAAGACTAGCCCTTAAAATTCCTGTGTATATTGTTAGATTGGGCCTGTTGCTAATGGAGGGGTTGTGGCTTTGTGGTTGTCCATAAAGTGATATATATTTATTTGAAGTAAAACGGTGAATGTGTTTTGAGCAGCTGTAGTTCCTAACAGAAATACTGTGTAAATAAAGTGCTATGATTAAAATTGAAACTGATAATCATTTATTGAGAACTAGATATTATAATTGCCCAAGAATGCAGCATGATAGAGATATAAATCAAATAGGTTTGAGTTGAGTTTAAATTCCAGAGTTTTCATTAACTGTGCCCTTATGCAAGTTACTAATTTCTGTGAATTGAAGTCTCTTTATTCTAAAGGTGGTCATAAGCCAGGGTGGCCGTGCCGAGCATGGTGCCTGTCGCACAGTAGGCCCTCCTTAAATGCCAGTTCTGTATGGAACGAAGACCAATTCTGATTTCCTGGAACAGCTTTGGAAATCTAAGAAAATTATTTTACCACCAGATTTATGCTATTTGGTGGACATTCAGGTTGTTTCTAGTTTTTTCTTCTGCCATAGATTAAAGACTTTTCTTATGACATTTCAGAACGTTTATGAGCAGAGAGAATGGTATAGTGTACTCTCCCTCTGCCTGTCACCCAGTTTTTATAATTACCAACTTAAGACCAATAACTATCGCCACTACCACCCTCCTCTCTTCACCTGCTGGAATATTTTAAAGCAAATCCAAGACGTCATATAAGTTCATCTATAAAACTGTAGACGTTTTACTCAGTGGAATGGGTTTAAAAAGCTAAAAAACAATTTAAAACAAAAAGCATACTGTAAACAAATGGCAGCGTTCCTTTTACTGATATCTTGTATTGTTCTTATCTTCCCTGGATTAGTGAAGTTCATGTACTAATTAATTTTCTTAAAACTGTTTGGAACTTAGACATTGTAAGACTCATTTATGCAGTGAGATGACAAAGAATCATGACAAGAGGTTTTACTGTAATTATATGAAAAGCATATATTTATTTGTGTACGGCCTTTACAGGAGGGTCTTAGCTTCCATGAATCCTTGTGCTCACCACGGCAGCTGTTGAGTGGACTGTCCTCCCCACTTCTGCTAGCTTATTTTGTGAATGCAGCTTAGTTCATGAATGTAGTGTTCATTTGCATATCATAATCTATGTCTTAGTACCTGTTTTCTTAGACTATAAGCTATTATAAGGTTGGTATGATGTTTATGCCAGTTACTAGAAAGCCTAGAAAAATGCCACACTCAAGGAGGCACTAAATAATTTAATACATTATGATAATGGGTGTTTTCAGAAACCTATTTTTAGAGAAGCTGTGTGTTACCCGGAAATGTTTCTTATTTTTCCCATATTTCTGTGTCTAGCTGTGGAGTAGAGTGAGAGTTGTACACCCCAGTGTTGGCAAGTAATGGGAAAGCCTTCCTTTGGCTAGGTAAGCTGAGATCCAGCTCTGTAGTTTGCTTTAAGACAGTGAAAGATCACTACGTTAGTATCATGACTTGGAGGAGAAGACAAACCATTTCTGTGAATCGTTCAATGAGTACATGCGTTTTCTTTTAGGGGTTTTAGACTCTTGAGTGAAGGAAACTTTAGGATAGCCATTATTTTAGATCAGTGGTATAAAGTCAAGAAATAAAGTTAAGATGGCATTAAGTTCTAAGATCTGATTTTATTAGATCAGCGCTAACTTTTTAAACTAAAATTTGGGGATCTTGAAATTTTTGATTTATGGATGTTAAAAGATTGCAACATGCTGTCTTTAGTCTCCTAGAAATTTTTCTAGAGTTCATGTTTTCCTTGGGAGAACCTTAGGCAAAACATACTATTTGCTCTTTGTAAGGTCTTTCAGAAAATAGGTGAGCAGAGCTAGTACTAAAACTATCAATTCCTAATTCTGCTTCCACTGTGGGATTTCATAAGCTTTCTTTATCTTGGGGTTTCCCTGTTGTTACAACATTTTTATTATTCCTGGTTTCTTAAGGAATAACTGATAAGCTATTAAGTGAATAAGCTACTAAGCTAGTTTATTATTTATAGCTAATAAGCTAGTAAGAATTGCGTATCATTAAAAAATATATATTGTACGTGTTTGTTTAAAATATCTATTGTAAATTAAAAGCCAAACTGGACATTTGGAAACTTAAAAACCTATTTTTTTACTCTGTTTGGTAATATAGCTTATATTAGAGGATTTTATTAAGTTATTTTGTTTCTGATATTTCTCCCTTTTCTCCCAGTGAGTTTTTAGCAGAAGACAGCCAAGAGAAGTTTTGGAATTTTGTAGAAGCCAGTGAAAATATTGGATCATCAGATCATCACGGTAAAATTGAAGCAAATGCTTCTTTGACTTTGGTATCTGGGAAAATATTAAAAAATGGTCTCTTGCAGAGTTATGTGTGGCATGGCAGTTAATGGAAAACTTTTTTTTTTTAAGATTTTATTTTTCCCTTTTCTCCCAAAGCCCCCCAGTACATAGTTGTGTATTTTTAGTTGTGGGTCCTTTTAGTTGTGGCATGTGGGATGCTGCCTCAGCATGGCCTGATGAGCAGTGCCATGTCTGCGCCCAGGATTTGAACTGGCGAAACCTGGGCTGCCGAAGCAGAGCGTGCGAACTTAACCACTGCGCCATGGGGCCGGCCCCCAAGGGAAAACATTTTTATCTTTAATGGCTAGAGTTGTGATTAGCCAGCAGCGCCAACACAAACTAATAATGATTTTTGAAGCAGTTTATAACTTTGGCTATAAGCACTAACTCTGATTTCTTTTCTCCCCCTTGTTTTTGTTCTTTTGTGTTCTTTTATGAAAAATGTTATGTGACTGTTTTGCGGAAGTCAAATTCATTTAAACTCATTTAGTATTAATAACCATCAGATTTGATTCAGTCTTTCTTTTGTTATGAAGTAATTACACAGCTAATTTGTTATCTGAGTTTGTTATCATTGTTAGTGCCATCCAAAATGTTTGCCATTATGCTTTCTAGCTACCCACAACTTGAGTGTGGATGTATCAAATGAATGACAGTGTAGACTGTGTCACTTGTTTACAGTTTGTGATATGCTTTCACAAACATTTTCTAATTCAATATAAGCTATGTAGAGTATAAACATTAGTAGGCAAACATGCTGATACGTGAGTAGCTGAAACCTTGAATGTTAGATTGACAGGCGTAAGTCCTTGTTGAAGAGGAAATATGTGAAAATTATGTGACTACTGTTAATATTTAACTGAATTGATTTTTATCTTTGATTTTTATTAAAATAATACGTATTTTAGAAGTCAAGTCTGAATCTCTTTTTTGTGATACAAGTACATTAAAGTTTTGAATAAGCATCTGTAAGTTTTAGTTATGTCATTTAGAGTCATTTAGCATTGTTTATCAAAAAAGTTATTTTACTTTTAGTTAATTATTTCATAAAACAAATTTATCAAAATGAGTTTTAAAATGAAATTTGATCTCTGAAATTTAATTTCATTTAAAATGAAATTTCTTCAGTATAAATGATAATGTGTTCTTGGTTAAAGTTGAAGGAGTATGAATTCTTGGAAATGGTCATAAAAGTATGTTAAACATTTTATTTGAAATATTTTTCATAGTCCTACCATCCAAAGATAGTCACCATTAACATTCTGGCAACATTTTGAGGTATTTCTTTCTGATCTCCTTTTTTGCTTAAAGGATGCTAATGCCGTAATGAACCTCTTATATTTACTTTTTAAAATGTTAATATTTTTCTTAAAAAAATTTTTTTGAATAGATAATATGTGATTTAAAAGTCAAAGCAATATAAAAGGCTATACACAGAAAAATCTTGTTCCCTTGCTGTCCCCGTTCTTTCCTTCTATTTCTCCCCTTCTTATTATAATCATTTAAATTAATTTGTTTAGCCTTCATTGTTTTTTAATTTTATTTTACAAATACATATGTATTCTTATTTCTTATTCCTTCTTAGAGTAAAAAAGATAGCTTACCCTATACATTGTTTTGTCCCTTGTGCTTTTCATTTAACAATGTATCGTGGGAATTTTTTCATACTGATGCATGTGTTTTTTCCCTTAGATAATTTATTCCAATTGTTGGTTTAAATGCTTTCCCCAAACTACAGTTTCATCAGTACCCTTTAATACCTTGTGCTTCCTCCTCACACTGCTCACTTTTGTTGGTTATTTGAATAGAAAACATGAGCTAAATATGTCATAGCTTCTGCCTGGGGGGCTCAAACGCTATTTGGAGAGGAGGAGTAGATAGTGAGTAAATAATTTAGTAAATGATGTGATAAAGAGGTAAGCAAAGAAATATGATGGGAACAAAGAGATGTTTTTGGTCTAGTAAGGCGTGGCGTGGGGATTGGGGGCGCCTCCTGGAGTAGATGTTCTCTCAGCTGAATTCTTCCTGGCGAAGTAGGTAAGAGTCATCCAGGTAAGTGGAAAATAGAAGTCCAGGGAGGGAACAGTGTGAACAAAGGGAAGAAGAAAGGAAGAGTCCCACTGCATTGTGTACTCCAGGGAATTCTAAGCATTTGACAACAGTTCAAGATGGTAAAGTGGTAGAATTTTGTGGTCATATGCTTTGATGACACATAGCTTTATACTTTATGACTTATCTTATTTGGATGTGTCTAGACGTACATGATTATTTTGGTTAATGTTTTTCCTTGACAGATACTGATTCTTCCTATTATCAAGCTATATTGGAAGCTGCATTTCAGTTTCTGTCACCTCTGCAGCAGAATTTGTTGAAGTTTTGTCTGTCTCTTCGTTCCTATTCAGCTACAATTCAAGCCTTCCAGCAGGTGAATTCAGTGCTTACACATAATGCTCTTTTAAGGGTTGTACAGTGTGATGATTGGATATGTTGCCATTGTCCTGGCATTGTGTTGCAGAGCTATAACTTTTCTGTCTGAAATGTTCTAGGATTTATGGTTTGTTTATAAAAAATAAGCAAAATTGATGTTAAATCTTCAAATCACAGATTATCAAAATATAATTTGCATTTATTTTCATTTAAGAAAAAAAAAGGACATCCACACAAAAAAGAGACTTCATTTATGCCTTGCGGCCTGGGAGGTGTACTCTCGCTAACCCAATCCACCATGAGTCTGATGGCATCCTGTAGATCTAGAGGCAGTTCCCAGGAAATACAAGGGACGGGAAACGTGAAGCCATGTCACAGGGATAGTCTGGAAAGTCCAGTATGTGGGAAACTTTGTAGTAAAATGATCTGATTTCTTCAACAAATAAGTTAAAAGGAAAAGAAGAGAGGCAAGGAGGAATTCAAGAGAGACTTAAAACGTGTCAACTTAATGCAATATGTGGATCTTGTTGGATTTTGAGTTGAACAAAATTACATTGTGAGAAAAAGAGTGAGAGAATCAAAGATGTGTGTACAGCGATTGTGTATTTGAGAGAAAAGGAATGTTAATTTTAAAACCACTTTTTTATTATAAAACAGGTATAGAAAACTACCCACAAGGAGTATATGGTATAGTTAATTATTATAAAGCAAACACTCTTGTAATTTTCACCCAGGTCAAGAAACAGCCCAGCCAGGCGCCCAGGAAGTCCTTCGTGTGCTCTGTTCCCATCACAGCTGCCTCCCGCCCTCCTCCCACTTTCTCAGCTTCTGTTGGAATCACTTGCTGTGTTTCTTTATCATTTTATTGCCCAATAGTGTGTCTCCACACAATAGAGTTTAGTCTTGCCAGTTTTATAAAATTTGATAATTTTTCAGGGGGAGGTTCTCTTAATTTACAGGTTTTCCCTCCCTCCCTTTCTTTTCTGTTGAATAACTTGAACTGTTTGCCCGATACATTTTTTCGCAGTCTGTATTTTGTTGATCACACATTCATGATGCAGTTCAACTTCTTCCTCAGTCCTCCGTTCCCTGCAGATTGGCGACTGGATCTAGAGGCTTGATCAGAATTGCATTTCACCCTTTGGCAGGTCTGTAGGTGGTATTCTAGTCTTCCATGAGGAGGCACCTCATGTCCGGTTTCTTCTCCTTTTTGCTTTAGCAGCCATTACTGCTCTGTGCTTAATCCATTAATTCTTGGGAGTTGTGAAGTGGTGACTCTTTCTGTCATTTCTTTTTCGTCTGTTCTTGGAAGATGGATATAAGAGGCACGTATCCTCATCTGATGCTGTTTCCTGATACTGTTCACATAGGGAAGGCAGAATACATGCTTGATTCTTTCCTTTTATTTACCAGAGGTTTCTGAATGAGTTTGATTCACTAGCATCCTTTTACTTTGACCATTTATTTTTGTTTGAACTTTTTTTTTTATTGTGGTAAATATATATAAAATAAGTTGATCATCTTATCCATTTTTATGTGTACAGTTCATGGTATTAAGTACATTCATATTGTGCAATCACAGCCACCATCTATCTTCAGAATTCCTTCCATCTTGCAAAGCTGAAACTCTGCTCCTCAAATAATAACTCCGCATTCTCCTCTTCTCCCCCACAATTTCTGGCAACTACCATTCTACTTTCTATCTCTATGAATTTGCCCATTCTAGATACCTCATATAAGTGGAATCATACAATGTTTATCCTCTTGTGTCTGGCTTATTTCACGTAGCATAATGTTTTTAAGGTTCATTAATGTTGTTGGTTTATCAGGATTTTGTTTCTTCTTATGGTTGAATAATATTCCATTGGCTGTATTTAACACATTTCGTTTATCCATTCATCTGTTGATGGACATTTGGATTGTTTCGGCCTTTTGGCTGTTGTGAATAATGCTGCTGTGGAACATTGGTGTGCTACTATCTGGTTGCATCCCTGCTTTCAATTCTTTTGCATGTTTACATAGGAGTATGGATCATCTGGTAATCCTGTGTTAAACATTTTGAGGGGCCAGTGCCATGGTGTAGTGGTTGAGTTCATGCACTCCAGTTCAGCAGCTCACGGTTCACAGGTTTGGATCCTGGGCGTGGACCTACACACTGCTCATCAAGCCATGCTGTGGCAGTGTCCCATATACAAAATAGACGAAGATTGGCATGGATGTTAGCTCAGGGAGAATCTTCCTCACCAAAAAGAAAAGTAACATTTTGAGGAACTGACAAGCTCTTTTTCCCTAGCAGCTGCACCATTTTATGTTCCCACCAGTAATGCACCAGGACTTCACTTTCTCCATATACTTTCCAACACTTGTTGTTTTCTGTGTTTTTTAGATAATGGCTATCCTCCTGGGTGGGAAGTGTATTTTGTGGTTTTGGTTTTCATTTCTCTAGTGACCAATGATGTGGAGCATCTTTTCATGTGCTTATTGGATATCTGTATATCTTCTTTAGAGATATGTCTATTTAAGACCTTTACCCATTTTGGAATTAGATTATTTAGGTTTTTTTGTTGTTGGGTTGTAGGAGTTCATTATACACTCTAGACATTAATCACTTATTAGATATGTGCTTTCCAAATGGTTTTCCCATTCGGTGGGTTGCGTTTCACTCTGTTTATGGCGTCCTTTTTTTTTTTTTCCTGCTTTTTCTCACTAAATCCCCCCAGTACATAGTTGTATATTTTAGTTGTTGGTCCTTCTAGTTGTGGCATGTGGGACACTGCCTCAACGTGGCCTGATGAGCGGTGCCATGTCTGCGCCCAGGATCCGAACCAGCAAAACCCTGGGCCGCTGAAGTGGAGCATGCAAACTTCACCACTTGGCCATGGGGCCGGCCCCTATAGTGTCCATTGCTACACAAAAGTTTTTAATTTTGATGAAGTCCCATTTATCTAGTTTTCCTTTGTTGCCTGTCCTTTTGGTGTCTTATCCAAGAAATCATTGCCAAATTTGATGTGATGAAGCTTTTTCCCTATGTTTTCTTCCAAGAGCTCTATAGTTATAATATTAGCTTTTAAGTTCAGCTCTCTGATCATTTTGAATTAATGTTTGAATGCAGTGTAGAATAAGAGTCCAACGTTGTTCTTTTCCGTGTGCATATCCAGTTTTCCCAGCACCATTTGTTGAAAAACTGTCCTTTCTCCATTTGGTCTTGGCACCCTTGTTCAAAATCAATTGATTATATATGTGAGGATTTATTTCTGGGCTCTCTATTCTATTCTGTTGGTTTGTCTTTCTCTCTTTGTGACAGGACCACACTGTTTTGCTTGCTGTAGCTTTATCCTAAGTTTGGAAATCAGAAAGAATGAGTCTTCTGTCCACTTCTTTTGATGCCTCTCTAGTAGTCTTTGATTGCTTCCTTGCTATCTGGTATAATAAAAAGTTTCAAGTTCATTTTGTACATCTCTGACCCTAGATTTGTGTTCAACTATTTTGCTAAGAGGCTCATTAAAGTGTTTCTTTTTTGGTGGGGAATGGTATTTTAAGAGCACGATCTAGGCACTAGGGATATTCATTGCTAATGGGTTCGTCTTTGTTCTTATGCCTTTTAAGCAGGCAGAGATAGGAAAAGACTACATATATGTCTAAAGACAAAATATATAAAGCTACGTAAAGATGAAATACTTTGTGAGTTCATGCTGATATTTTCAATTCAAATTAAGGACTACTTTGTTACCTGTATATCGCTTTTCTTGCACATTGAGAATCTTAGTTCTCAAGGATATAAGGGATGATTGACTCTCATGATTACTCATTTGTTTTATCCATGTTGCATATACAGTAGCGTTAAAGACAATAGTCATCCTATTGCCACAATTGTATTTATTGAAAACAGTTAAAAAGTTTTCTTTTGGCCTAGTGATCCCCATTCTCCCTCCCCCCATTTTAAAAAATGAGTGTATTCTACCTAGAGTATAGATGTTTCATATTATATTATATCCCTTTTAACCCTCATTTTGTCTTAGTTCTACAAAAACTTTATATCTATAATGCTCACCACTTGTCCTTTTGCCAAATGTCTGTAGTCAGTGGGCTTTTTTTGACACGTGCATATTGGTAGATGCCTCAGAAAGGGCTCATGGGAACAGTATTTCCTCAGTTTTTGATTGTTTATTTAACATTCTGGGTATAAAATCCTTGGTTCGTATTTTCTTTCCTTGACTATTTTAAACATATTATTTCATTTCCTTTCAGCATGAATCTTCCTGTAGAAAGTGTGATAATATAATTTTCTTTCCCTTCAAAGTCTCTTGCCCTTTTTGTCTAGAGGCTCAAAGGAGTTTTTCTTTTTCTTTAAAGTCAGAATTTACTAGAATGTAGTTTAGCAGTGATTGTTGTGGGTCAGTATTTTCAGATATGCAGTATGTTCTTTTAATATAGAGTTTCAAACCATTTTTTATTTCAGGAAACTTTTCTTAAAAACTGATTATAATTTGTTCTTTTCTCTTGTTTGGAATTCATATCACCTGTATGTTGAATTTTCTTTGCCTAGCTTCATTATTTCTCACTTTCTCTTGAATCTGTTTTCTTTATTTTTGATTTTTAAATGTTTCTTGTTTTCACCTTCTATTTCTCCTAAGTCATTCCTTATTACGTTTGCTTTTGTGCTCAATCTAGTTTAGTCTTTATTTCTAAAGTATTTTTCTTTTACTTCTAATTTTTCCTTGAGTCCATCACCTCATTTCTGAGTTTCTCTAATTCTGACTTAGGTTATTGCGTATGTCTTGTACAATTTCCTTAATGTATTTTAGTTTGTTTGAAATAACAGGTTACATTTTTATCTGTCTTCTAGCTGTATATTTCTGGCATGGTTTTATTGACTGTACCTGTGCTGTCCAATATGGTAGCCAATAGCCATGTGTAGCTATTTAAATTTAAACCAATTAAAATTAAATGAAATAAAAAATTTAGTTCTTCTGTTGGATTAGCCACATTTCAAGTGCTTGATAGTCACCTGTATCAAGTGGCTACCATATTGACCAGTGCAGATACAGAATGTTTCTCTCATTGGAGAAATTTCTCTTGTCCAGTGTGCATCTGTAAGAATAAGGGTGTTATTCTGTTCCCTGCCCCCTCTTTCCCAGTAGCTTTGTATAGGATTTGACATTGAGACATTTTGCTCATTTTGATGTGAAATTTGTTTTTCTTAACTTTTAGAGGTTGACATGGCGCCTTCTTCTGTTGCTTTTATGTAATGTTAAAAAATGCAGTGGCTTGGGCCTGTCCCCATGGTGTAGTGCTTAAGTTCAGTGTGTTCCACTTCAATGACCCGGGTTCATGGGTTTGGACCCCGGGTGTGGACCTACCACCCTTTCCCAGCCATGCTGTGGCAGTGACCTGCATATAAAGTAGAAGAAGATTGGCATAGATGTTAGCTCAGGGCTAAACTTCCTCAGCAAAAAAAATGTGGTGGCTTGGTTTTTGAGATTTCCTGACTGTTTTCTTCTGCACTTTTATTTGGACTTTCTCTTTCATTTTCCGGATATCTCTGTCCTACTCAAGTTTTATTTCACCCTCAGCAGTTTCTCCCTAGAGTGGGGCCCTGTCCTAGAAGGAGGTCTGGCTTATGAGCTTTGAGAGTTCAGACTGCTAGATTGCTCCAATGCCTGTGAACTCTACTGTTGATTCCTTGTGCTCACCTGGTATGAGACTGAACAAAACCCATTGGCCCCCATACTTTCCAGTGAATACCTGGGCTGTTTTGAGGTTTTCTTGTTTTTAGGATCATCAGAATTTCTGTTGTTTCCCTCTTCTTCCTTCTCCATGACCTCTGATAACTGCAGATCTTGTTGAAGTTTTGTATCCTGGGGATTTCCTTTCACCTAGTTTTGTCATCAGTGTGGTTCATTGGTTTCTGTTTTTGCTGTCTGGTTGCTCTGTTTTTATAGGGAACTTGGGGAGATTGAAAAACTATGCTGCCTCTTGCCATCTGTGTGGAATTTTATTACTTTTTATAAGTGTGATACTGTTATTATGTTTTTTGAAAAAGCTCTATTTTTTATTGAGACACACTGAAACTTTACAAATGAAATGAAATGTTATTTGGAATTTATGTCACAATAATCTAATAGAGTGTGGTAGAAAGGTAGATGGAATAAGATTGGCCGTGAGTTGGGAATTATTGAAGCTGGGTCACGGATACGTGGGGATTTATTATACTATTATTTCTTCTTTTTTGTGTGTTTGTAAGTTTTATAATAATTTCCAAAAATTGAAGAATGTAGTGAAAAGTTTTAGTATCAATTTTTCATTGCAAGCTTTCCATTTCTCCCCTTCTTTTCTTGATTATTTGTATTCCATCTCTAGAAAAGGACACTTTAATTTGACTATGTTATGTGAATGACGTGAGTGCGTATACCAGTGCTTATCCTTCTGTCCTTTCTTTCCCATCTCATTATACTCCCTCTTCTCAGTGTGCCTCTCGTGCAGGCTACAGATTGACTCGTTGCATTACGCCTTGGTGTTAATGCATTTCACTGTAAACGGAAACTCACGTCTCATTCAGCCCTTCCCTTGATTGTCTTACTGTGCTCCTTACGTAATTTTACCTTTCCATCTACGCTATTTTTTTTAGGCCCAGTTGTTTTTTTGTATTCTATGTCATTCTTCCTATTTCAGTGAGGGGCTTCATGTTAATTTCATATTGTACTTAATTAGAACTGCTTCCTTATACTTTGGCACTGAAACTTGACATTTGTGAGCTTAGTTTTCTACAAGGTACATGCTGCATTCCTTGGATATCTTTTGATATCTTCTGAGATAGAATTTTAAAGTTCTGTATTCGGGATGATAGTAACACCTGCTTCATGGGGTGATATTAGGAGGAACTAGATGAAATAATACAAGGAAAGCAGTGACACCTAAAGCTCTCACATTCTGTCACATAATGGGTGTTCAGTAGATGTTAATTTTTGCTTTTATTGATACTGTTTTATCATTTTATTATGTATTTAGAATATTTATGTATTTATCTTGCCTTTGCTTAGAAATTATTGTAAAAATGTCTTGTGTATTGTATGACAGATAGCAGCTGATGAACCTCCACCAGAGGGATGTAATTCGTTCTTTTCAGTGCATGGGAAGAAGACTTGTGATTTTGATGCCCTTGAGACCCTTCTCCCAACAGCGTCTGAAAGGTGGATTGTGGGTTTCTTTATAAGTGTCTTGTGCTCATCGTGCTTTCTTCTGTATCAAGTGCACCTTCTGATCTTTCTTAGGGGTTTTGGAGTCTGTAGGTATAGTAGTTTAGAGTACGGATTCTGGAACCAGACTGACTACATTTGAATCCCAGCTCCATCCCTTAAAATAGTTTTGTGAACTTAAGCAGATTACTTTTGTGATCTCATTGCAAAATGGAGATAATAAGAGTACTTAATACTGCTGTTATTATTGAGTAAGGACTATATCTGAGATTACATAGGCTTTGTCATCAGCTTAGTAAAGGAAACTGTTAAAGCCAGTGCCTGAAGTAATGATATTGATGATAATCTCTCGGGATATTATTAATTTCAGACAAAAGAGACTATTTAAAAGATAATTGCAAGCTTAATTTGAATATTAAATTGGTAATTAATGAGCTAACTCTTTTGCTTAAGGTAGGTTTCCTGTGGTTGACAGATATAATCAGTACTCTTGCTGTCTGCCTGGGGCACTAACCCCTTTGTACCACCTCTGGCTCTGTTATAAATGGGATAGTGGTGGTGTCTCTCAGTGCTGCTCTCCCGGATTGGACGGGTGTTTCAGGTGGGGGGCTTCTTCTGTAGTGAGACTGTCTACCCAGCACTTGTCCTCTGCTCCCAGATGGCATGAGTGCTTCCTACTTAGGGTGACAACCGGAAAGCACAGTGCACATTCCAGCCATCTCGGGCTGGAGGTGTGAGCATTCAAAAATGGCTGCATGGTAAAGGAGTGCTCCCTTGGGGAAAACAAAATTGATTGATTTAAAGAATTGTTTGTTTAATCTGTTACAACAATAATATAGACCTTTATAAAGAAAAGAGTGATAGTGTCTCCTCTTCTGAGAGGTGGTTAAGTGTTTTTAATGGTTTGGCATATATCATTTTAGACTTTTTTCTGTGGTTACAAGTAGGTTTATTTTACAAGAGGCACCTTCCATTTAGTACGTGTAGGTGTACCTCAGTGGGAGGGGTTGGTAGGTCATAAAGTCTGTGCATTAGGATCTATTCATATCTTGATGCCATTCTGAGAAAATTTTTGGTGGTGGGGAAGTTTTAAAATTTATGAGGAAAACTTGAATGTTAAATCTAATAGTACGAAGATCATAGTAGTAAAAATGATAGAGGAGGGGCATGCTGTATTGGCAAGTTATATGCTTCTAGTCATCGTCTGCTTTTTGGCATTATTTGTACTTATGTTTTCAGATAAAAGGATAATTATATTATATTCCTGTGGTAGAATAATTTACTAAAGCTTTAGTACTATGAGATCTGGATATGTATCCTTTTTCTGTTTTTTTCCCCTTTCTCCAGTAATGGGTAACAATTATTAATCAAAGTCTGTATTTTATAGTTAGTATTCATATAATATCCTTTTATTATTTTTAATTATGAACAAATAAGACCCATATCTGACAATATTCTTACTAAAATTTTTTTAAGATGGTGATGCTCTTTATATTAAGATGCTTACAATCTTTGCTTGAATTATCATGGCTATAGCTACATTTTGTACTGTTTTTCATGTTTAAAAACTTGTTGAAGTTTACATTTTAAGCTTTTATTATTTCTTTTCAGACCCAAACCTTTATTGTTCAAAGGCGATCACAGATATCCCTCATCTGACCCTGAAAGCCCAGTGGTGATTTTCTACTCTGAGATTGGCTATGAGGAATTTTATAATTTCCACCGCCAACTTACATCAAAAAGCAGTGCAGGCAAAATCAATTACGTATTCAGACATTATGTATCTGTAAGTATTGACTTATTTATAGCTGCTTTAAATATTAATTTGCCCAGCATGACTAGCACATAAGCTGATAATTTCCCCCCTTATAAAATTATTTGAACTACTTTCTGAGAAGAGTAGTGCTTTCATCACATCTGTTATTTGCACATAGGAGGTACTTTGCTTGCCTTTCTGAAGAGATCTAAAACAATCAATTTTAAAAAAATGGCTTAATAAAGTTTACATTCTATTTCAAAATGAATGATGTAAATTATATTTAATTTGGTCCAGATTTAGTATGGTCATCATTCTATGGAACTGGGTCTTGAGTTCAGTTCCTTTCCAACCCCTTTTTTTCTTTTTGGAATGTTTTCATTTAGTGGAAGGGGGAGGATTTCTAAGGAGGTAAAGTGAGGCAGAATTGATGTAAAATTAAGCTTTTAAAACCTAGGTAGCATTTAACATTTAAAATATTCATGTGTAAATATGGTTAGCCTTTAAAGTTTCTGTGTCATCATAAGCTTAGTAAATACTGGATCCTAAGTCTATGCAAATAAAGTAAAAATTTTAAATGGAAATGTGTATGAGCAGAAACAGATTTACCAATATCCAGTTTTGGGCAACTGCCATCTTTCCTCCTGCCCTCCAGGCTCTGTTGCTGGTGTTAAAGATTAAAATGTCTAAAGGGCCATCCTTGTTCAGGATGGTGGTAAGTCTGTGACATTTGGTTAACCCGAACCCTACCTGAAGACATTTAAATTCAATAGAAATGTACACACACACACATTTACACACATGGTCCCAACCAAGCACTCTGGGTTTGAAACCTCACCGGTTCTCAACCCTGCTATGTAGGCTCTGGAACAGCTTTTTCTCTTGTTCTGTTTCTTCCCATAGTTTGGTTGTCTTTGCCTTTTCCACTGTTCCTTCATCCGGTGTTGCTTCCACCTTGGAATTCCTGTTCTCATACTTGTGTCAGGCTACAAACCTAGGGGAGGCTAGGATTCCCGTGGAAGTTTGTGTATTTCGAGTGTGTAACCCTAGGTGATGGCTGTGCCACATTAACATGGCTGTGTTCTGTACCATTATACGGTGATGGTGATGATGGTGGAATACTTGTTCTGCTTCCAGAATCCCAGGAAGGAGCCTGTCTACCTCTCCGGCTATGGTGTGGAATTAGCCATTAAGAGCACTGAGTACAAAGCCAAGGATGATACTCAGGTGAAAGGTGAATTTGTAAATTAAGACCACTGTGTTTTCTTTAAATAGGAGTTAAAGGGGAATTTGTTTTTTTAATGGAAAAGAATAGACTGAGGAGTATGATGAATCCGTGTTTGAATCCAGGTTCTGTTACATCTGAGTTGGGTGATGTTAAGCAGATTAGCCAGGTCCCAATTTTTTTCTCTGTAAGGTACAGATAATGATATATTGCCTCTTCAAGTATTTGTGAGGAGAAAATAAAATGTATATGTGAAGAATTTAGCATAGTTGTTTGCACAGAAAAAGTTCGTTAAGTAGTAGCTGTTGTTATTGGTGACATCTAGGTCACAAACAGCCATTAATTTGTGACCCACTCTGAAATCTTAAATTATCCTATAATTAATGAACAATTTCGTGTTTTCTATTATTTTTTGTACTTGGAACAATTTACTATGGATACTTCCTGTTGTAATACTCTAGGGTTTTGAATTTTCTTATTTCTATCCCAAGTTTTATCTGTAGTCCTTTTATTTCTTTTGAGCTCATTTTAAAAATGATTGGTGTGGCTACATGGAAGGTAGCCTAAATGCCTCATCATTCTGTTTGTAGTAATTATATTTAGGGTTAAGTTGCCTCCTTGCAACTTCTTCAGAACTTTGAAATTGAAAAATCCATTGTTCACAATTTTAAAGGTATTAATTTAGAAATTTTCAACATGTAAAATTTTCCAAAGTCTAAGGGAAAAATGTATTCTTACCTTATCCAGGAACACAGGATATATTAAAAACATTTGTTCTGGGGCCAGCCCAGTGACGTAGTGGTTAAGTTTGCATGCTCCACTTTGGTAGCCTAGGGTTCACAGGTTTGGATCCTGGGCATAGACCTATACACTGCTCATCAAGCCATGCTGTGGTGGCATCTCACATACAAAAAATAGAGAAAGACTGGCACAGATGTTAGCTCAGGGTGAATCTTCCTCAAGCAAGAGGAAGATTGGCAACAGATGTTAGCTCAGGGCCAATCTTCCTTACCAAAAAGAAAGCAAAACAAAAAAAATTTATTCTGTCTGTTTGTTACCATGGCAAAATGTTAATTTGAGGTATTCAGCATTTCAAATGGTACTATAATTTCAGGTGTTTCTAATTTTTTTTACATTATTCAAATTTTATGAAGTTGATAAAATTTTTATTTCTGATCTGAGTAAATTTAGTCATGTATTTGCTGTGCTTTTATAGGAACTGAGGTAAACACCACAGTGATTGGTGAAAATGATCCTATTGATGAAGTTCAAGGATTTCTCTTTGGAAAATTACGGTACGTGTATTCCTTTTGGGAAATGGTCTTATTCTCTTTAAACTTCCATGCTTCCTTGAATTGTAAGCATTGTCTTTCTCATTACTGTCTGAGTTGCAGGCCTCCCAACAGTTCTTTACAAATGTAATCTGATATGAAGAGGTTGCCACTTAGTTTATAGTACAGTTTCTGATTTCCAGTCATTCTGAACATTCTTAGTGATACCATAGCTGCCTGCATATGGCTTAAATTGATTTCTTTCTCTGGGCCTTACAGTTCATGGCGTAGGGTTACGTGCCATTTTTTGATTCACGTAATAGGAGAAATCTAATTGTTTCACTCAATTTTTTTTCTGGAGAAATTCAATGTATAAGTTGGAAAGATCATAGCTATTTATTTATGCTAAACATAGTCTGAAAAAATGCAAAAGAGGTATAGTAGATTTTATAAATGTTAGGTTGAAATGCATTTTCTTAGAATTTGTCTTATATGACAGAGGATAGAAAATTTTTTTGAAGGAAATTTCATAACCATTTTATTAAAGCAGCGTAGAAAATATTTTTCTTTTTTCTTTTTTTGTTGAGGCAATGTTGGTTTATACATTGTATAGGTTTCAGGTGTACATCGTTATCGTTTGACTTCTGTATACACTACATCATGTTCCCACCAAAAATCGTTTCCGTCTGTCACTGTGCAAATGATCCCCTTTACCCAGTTTGCCTTCCTCCAACCCTCTTTCTCCTCTGCTAACTACCAGTCTGTTTTCTGTGTCAGTGTGGTTCTTTATTTTCCTCATATGAGTGAGATCATATGGTATTTGTCTTTCTCCCCGAGACTTACTTCACTTAGCATAATACCCTCAAGGTGCATCCATGTTGTTGTGAATGGCATGATTTCGTGTTTTTGTTTTTTTATGGCTGAGTAATATTCCATTGTGTATATACACCACTTCTTTTTTGGGGGGAGGCAGATTGGCCCTGAGCTAACATCTGTTGCCAGTCTTCCTCTTTTTGCTGAGGAAGATTGGCTCTGAGCTAACATCTGTGCCCATCTTCCTCTATTTTGTATATGGGATGCCACCACAGCATGGCTTGAGGAGTGGTAATTAGGTCTGTGCAAGGGATCCAAACATGTGAAGCCCATACCGCTGAAGCGGAGCATGCAAACCCAACCACTACGCCACCAGGCCAGCCCCACATCTTTATCCATTCATCTGTTGATGGGCACTTAGGTTGTTTCCAAGTCTCGGCTGTTGTGAATAATGCTGCAACGAACATACGGGGACATACATCTTTATGCATTCATGTTTTTTAAATTCTTTGGATAAATACCCAGAAGTGGAGTAGCTGGGTCATATGGTATTTCTATTTTAACATTTTTTTGTTTGTGTGAGGAAGATTCACTCTGAGCTAACATCTGTTGCCAATCCTCCTGTTATTCTGCTTGAGGAAGATGAGCACTGAGCTATCATCTGTGCCAGTCTTCCTCTATTTTTTTTGTGTGTGGGTTGCCTCCACAGCATGGCTGATGAGTGGAGTAGGACCATGCCCAGCATCTGAACCCATGAACCAGAGTGTGTGGAACTTCAACCTCTCAGTCCTGGGGCTGGCCCCACTATTTTAATTCTTTGAGGACCCTCCATACTGTTTTCCACAGTGGCTGCACCAGTTTACATTCCCACCAGCAGTGTATGAGGGTTCCTTTTTCTCCACATCCTCTCCAACACTTGATATTTTTTGTTTTTAATAGTAGCCGTTCTGATGGGCATGAGATGATATCTCATTGTGGTTTTGATTTGCAGTCCTCCAATAATTAGTGATGCTGAACATCTTTTCATTTGCCTGTTGGCCATCTGTATATCTTCTTTGGAAAAATGTCTGTTCAGATCCTCTGCCCATTTTTTAATTGGGTTGTTTGTCTTTTTGTTGTTGAGTTGTATGAGTTCTTTATATATTTTGGAGATTAACCTCTTATCGGATGTATTGTTTGCAGATATCTTCACCTAGTTGTTAGATTGTCTTTTCATTTTGTTAATTATTTTTGCCATGTGGAAGTTTTTAGTTTAATGTAGTCCCATTTGTTTATTTTTTCTCTTGTTTCCCTTGTCTAAGGAGACATGTTCAAAATGCTAATGCTAAGACTGATATCGAAGAATGTACTGCCTATGTTTTCTTCTATGAATTTTATGGTTTCAGGTCTTACATTCAAGTCTTTAATCCATTTTGAGTTAATTTTTGTGTATGGTGTAAGATGGTGGTCTATTTTCACTTTTTTGCATGGGGCTGTCCAATTTTCCCAACACCATTTGTTGAAGAGACTTTCCTTTCTCCATTGTTTGTTCTTGGCTCCCTTGTTGGAGATTAGCTGTCCCTAGATGAGTGGTTTATTTCTGGGCTCTCAGTTCTGCTCCATTGATCTGTGTGTGTTTTTGTGCCGGTACCATGCTGTTTTGATTACGGTAGCTTTGTAGTCTTCTTTGATATCAGGGAGTGGGATGCCTCCAGCTTGGTTGGTTTTTCTCAGGATTGCTTTGGCCATTTGGGGTCTTTTGTTGTTCCATATAAATTTTAGGATCCTTTGGTCTATATCTGTGAAAAATGTCATTGGGATTTTGATAGGGATTGCATTAAATCTATAGATTGCTTTAGATAGTATGGACATTTTACATTAATTCTTCCAATTCATGAGCACAGAATATTTTTCTTTTCCTGTGTCGTCTTTGATTTCTTTCAGTAATGTCTTATAGTTCTTGGTGTACAGGTCTTTCACCTCCTTGGTTAAATTTATTCCTAGATAATTTATTTATTTTGTTGCAATTGTAAATGAGATTTTCGTCGTTTCTCTTTCTGCTAATTTGTTGTTAGGGTATAGAACTGCAACTGATATTTGTATGTTGATTTTGTATGCACAACTTTACTATATTCATTGATTATTTCTTACAGTTTTTTGGTGGATTCTTTAGCGTTTTCTTTATAAAAAAATCATGTCATCCACAAATAGTGACAGTTTCACTTCTTCCTTTCCAATTTGGGTGCCTTTTATTTCTTTTTCTTACCGCATTACTCTGGCTGGGACTTGGACTACTATGTTGAATAAGACTGGTGAGAGTGGGCCTCCTTGTCTTATTTCTGTTCTTAGAGGAATAACTTTAGTTTTTCACTATTAAGTATGATGCTGGCTGTGGGTTTCTCATTTGTGGCCTTTATTATGTTGAGATACTTTCCTTCTATGCTCATTTTATTCAGAGTTTTTATCATAAATGGCCGTTGAATCTCGCCAAATGTTTTAAAAGGATTGTACACTATGAGCAAGTGGGATATCTCTCAGGGATGCAAGGATGGTTCACCCTCCACAAATCAATCAATATGATACATCACATTAACAAAATGAAGAATAAAAATCATATGATCCTAGAATTTTATAGCTGAAATTTTCCTTAGTAGTTATTTTAAATGTTGCAGTTATTTCTGATATGACTTGATAATTGTTCAGAGCCCTGAATTCTGCTTCATCTGGAAATCTTAATTAGGACATGTATGGTGTGCTTTTTTTTTAAGCAGGGATCACAGAGAAAGAGCGTGTGTAGGCTCAGCTTCAGATGCTTCAGCTTTAACCCTTGGCCGAGTGAAATGACTGACTAGACTAACAGTTGGCAGCGATGACTTAGTTCGTGTGAAATTACTGTGGCTCTGTTGAGTTCGTTGTATGCATACATACATTTCCTCATGTTTAACGTCGGTTTTGGCCTCGTTCCTGTGCAGTCAGGTTCCATTTTTATTGGGCCCAGGTTTCCAGAATCCCTTTCATATTCACGTTTCTTACGTTTGTTTTTGGATAGCATGATGATTTCATGTATTTACAGCACAAAGGGAATATGTGGAATATTAAAGACTTTTTTGCGGGGGACATTCAGAATAGTTATTTAGCTATCTAAAGTAATTGGACCATTTTTTGATATTCTTATCATGGACAAGAGTTTTAGTAACTGATTAGAAATGGTTTGGTTGGAAGGTGAAGGGCCTGAGTAAATATTTTACTTTCTGCATATTGCATTTAAGAAATTTTGAGTTTCTAACATTTAAAAGAATAGAATTTCTTTACCAACCATCCATCTGTCTGATCTGGATGATATATCTCTGCCTCTGATGACTTCTGTCTTACTGGCTTTAGAAAGAATGCACTGTGTTTTAAGATAAAACTAAACAAAACCCAATAATCTTGGTTAACGTGAATTGTATTCGTGTAACTAAAGGATTTATGAGCATGTAGCTGACACAAATTCATTTTGGGACTGGCAGCAATGTATTTCCAATTTTATTTTGAGAAATTAAACAGATTCAGAAAAGTATGGAGAGCAATATAACATACCCATGTACCCACCAGCTAGAATTGATTGTTGCTATCGTACTTGCTTTTCTGTACCAAAGAACTATCAAGTTTTTCCCCTCCACATGTGTCTTCTTTTGCTTGAAAAAGGAAACAAGGTGAATAAAACACCAGCAGTGGAATTGAAGTCCCCTTTGTTCCCTGCTCTTAGTCCCGCTCCTCACCCTTCCTCCGATATAGAGAATCACTTTTGTAGTGATTCATTTTTAATCTGTAAATTTTATGGTTTTTAAACTCAGTTATAGTTTTCTATATTAACTTATTTTTTAAGAATATCAATTATACTTTAATTTTTTTCCTATATTGTAGAAGTTTTCCTATGGCTAAGGGAAAAATCATGAAGATGAAGTTGGAGCCAATTCCTAAGTGTGCTTTGAGAAAGAAAAGATGCGTGAAAAGGATTGATTTTATGTTTCTTTCAGAGACCTGCACCCTGCCCTGAAGGAGCAGTTGAAAGAACTCAGAAAGCATCTTGTGGAGAGCACCAATGAAATGGCACCTTTAAAAGTCTGGCAATTGCAAGGTAATAGCCACGCAGAGGAATCACTGGCCTACTCTTTTTGACTAAATTTTATAGTGTTAAAAAATGTCAGATTTGAATTTAGTTGTATTTATTCATGTAATTTTGAGGGTACCACGGATTTTTACGATAGTGGTTAATTATGATTAATCAGAAAAGAAAGTCATTTTGTAGACAGATAACACTGTGCAGAAGTAATGTGTGTAAATGACTGTCAGATCTTTTTCTGTGTGACCAGATACATGGCTTGCGGTACTAGAAACATGTTTGTCTTAGTGTTTATGTTTCTATATGTATACATTTATTGTACGATGTATCTGTCGAATGTTAAAGGCATGTCTGTACAGCAGGATCTATGTGTGCTTTTCTGGTCCAGAGAACTCTTTATCAGTTTTCTCCTAATGTAAGTTACTAAAATCTCTGCTGTGCTTTGTGGTGTGTTGTAAATTCGGAAGGAGGAACGGCATGCAGTTGGATCAGAGAAGGGGTACAGTGAGCACTCTAGGGATCTGTGAAGTGAATAGAACCTGGAATTAAACCATGGGCACGCTCTGAAGTGTGCAGCGTGGAGCATTTTTCAGTACCAAGAAGCTAGCGGGAAATAAGTGTGGTTCTGTTTCTCATTACCTTTGATTAATAACTTCAAACTGTGTTTGGCGTTGTTGCAGATCTCAGTTTCCAGACGGCTGCCCGCATCTTGGCTGCTCCTGTTGAGTTAGCTCTGGTGATCATGAAGGACCTTAGTCAGAATTTTCCTACCAAAGCCAGGTAACAGAGAGTACTCAGGCTTTGAGACGTTCTCCTTAGCATATACCTAATTATCTTCATGTTCACGTGCAAAATGAAGCAGTTAAAATACGGAAATACTTAGAAAATTAAAGCTCTGTTACTACCAGCACCACACTGCTAATGGTGCTGTCTTTCTGAGAAGGCGTCAAGAACCTGGCATTGTGTGGTTGAAGGGGCCAGCCGGGTGGTGTTCTTGGCACTGCCACTTGATGGCTGTGTGAACTCTGCAAATAAACCATCTCTCTTTACCTCACTTTCCTCAGTAGTAAGATGGAAATAACAGCGCCTACCTTTTGGATTGAATGAGTTAACAAAATCTAACGTATGTGGGCGTAACTAATGCAGGGTCTCTGGACGACAGTGTTTTTCTTCCTGAAGAACTTCACAGATATCATCTTAATTAATCTGGATGAAATGAGTTATAAAGGTTGACTTGTTTTACAGTGACAGAATAAAATTTTGAATGCATCTTTTTTGGTAATTGCTTTCTGTTGTGTAGTGGTCCTCCACATCTCATAAATGCAAGGCAAAATTGTTTCAGAAGCCAAATTTTTAGAAACGAATACTTAAATGATTGTCAGTCTTTTTCTGAGTCCCTGAATAAGCTGTTTTGACTTTTTTTTTTGGGCGGGGGGCGGTGAGGAAGATTGGCTCTGAGCAAACATCTGTGCCAGTCTTCCTCTATTTTGTATGGGACGCCACCACAGCGTGGTATGATGAGCAGTGCTAGGTCTGCACCCTGGATCCAAACCTGTGAACCCTGGGCTGCTGACGTGGAGCGCAAGAACTTAACCACTGTGCCACTGGCCTGGCCCTGTTTTCACTTCTGATATGAGATGCTTTGTAAATAAATTTGTTTATTTGATGAGTCTTGGAAAATACTTCTTAGCCAGGACTTACAGATCATATAGTACATTTAGTCCAGCATGCTGTTGAAGATCTATATGCAGGATTCTGCATCCACTATGTGCACTTAAGGAGCATGAGCACTCTGTTGCCTTAATTTATGTAACATTATTCTTTAGTCCATAAGCTATAGAGATCATGTACAGGAATAGGGTTATATATATTCAACTAAGATATTAGAAATAACTGTACTTGCATTAAAATGTTGCTATTATTGCTACTTTTCCTTGATGTTGTATCTTGTAATAATAAAATATACATTTGAGAGGAGAAATATATTTATCAATTGTAAAGCTTTCAGATTTTTTCCATTTAGAGTTTTTTTTGTAATTTATTCAGCAATGTGTTGTTTCATACTTAAATATAGGAAAATTGAAGACATTTATATCAAATATTAAACTAAGCTCTGATAATGTTTTTGTTTCCTTAGAGCAATAACAAAAACAGCTGTGAGTTCAGAACTTAGAACCGAAGTGGAAGAGAATCAGAAGGTATTAACCACTGGAAAATAGTGGCCTTTCTGTTTTACATTGTAGCTTTAAAAATGAGGAAATCTGAGTTAAATCAGTGACATTTAACAGTTTGACTCTTCTTTTGTCAAAGATGGTGGTATTTTGATTCATTTTGTAATCTTTTTTATATTTTTAATCAAAGTTGAATATGAATATAATTCGAAGTATCAAATGGTCCCACCTGTTTGTTTAGAAAAATGGCGCGCCAACATCTCATTCTCTGTTGTCCCCTTCCTGGAAGCATCTGCTTTCAGCTCTTAGCTGGGTCTTTTGGTGTTTGTCTTCAGACTTGTAGCAAGCTTAAATTGGCACTTTTTTTCAGTTTCAGAGCTTATGTATTGGCCTCCTACCACACGTGTGAGGTTTCACTTTCTTTCATTGCCCTCCTGCCATGTCTGGCACTACTCCATGTTGGCACTTTCCCAATCTCTCCACCTTCCCTGAACTTTTGTCATGATTTCTATCCATTTTTGGTCTCCACTCTGGGCTCGTTGTTCTTTGTGTCTAGTGCATACCAGTTATCCTGAGAGCTTCCTTTCACCTCTTTGGTTGGATCTCCTAGTTTGTGGATTCCACATTGTCTTTGTTTTTGGTTTAGTCCCTTATTTTGGTGCAGCAGTCATGCTTCTTGAGAAAAGTTGCATGCAAAGTAAATTTCAGACTCTGAGAAATCAATTTCTGTTTTTATTGATAGCTTGGGTGGATATAGAATTCTAGATTGGAAGTCATTTCGAAGTTTGAAGTTATTGCTCCTAGGAATTTTGGTTTCCATTGTGGCTGTTGAGAAGTCTGAAGCCTTTGTATAAGATCTGTTTTTCCTTTCTGGAATCATCTAGGATCTTTTCTTTGACCCTAGTAATCTGAAATTTCACAATGCTATGCTTTTTTGAAAAGTCTCCTGACTGTTGGGTGGTGGGTGGGTTCTTTAAATCTGGAAAATCGTTGTCTTTCAATTTGGGACATTTTCTTGAATTATTTCTTTCTTCTAGTTTGTCTTTTCTGTTTTCCTACAACTCTTTATTTATTTTGAAGATGTTTTTGTACCTTTTTGACTAGTTTGACCTAATTTAAAAAAATCTTTTCATTCCTCTTTTCCAACTCTTTTTGTCTTTTATTTTTAAACTTTCTATGAAGGATTTTTCAACCCCCTTTGTTGAGACTTTTCCTTTAGTTGTCAAGTTTTTAATTTCCAAGAGTGGTGGTGGTTCTTGGGTTCTTCTTTTTATGGTGTTCTTGTATCTTTATGAAGATAGCAGTGGTGCGTGTGTGTGTGTCTCCTCTCTGCTCAGTCTGTTTCCTCTTAAGTTGCCTTTCTTTCTGTCTTGCTCTTTTGCCTGTAGTGTTAGAGGCTTTCCTTAGGTGCTGGTGACCCGTGGCTAGCTGCTCATGTTGAAGAGTGAGGCAGGAAAGCTGATTGGAAGCCTTAAGGATGAGGCTTTTGACTGTAGGCTACACCCGTGTGGCTGTTTCCTAGGGAGCCCCAGTGATGGTATCTTTAAATCTTTGCTCTTGAACTGTTCAATCTCCAGAAAAGATCTTTTAATCTTCTGCCCGGAGGGCGAAGTCTGGCCGCCAGAGGGCAGAAGCCCAGGAGGGAGGGGCATGTGATAGCTTCAGCTGGGTCCCCTGTTTTCAGTATGGGATCCCCGCCCTCAGTTGTGTTTTGTTTCCCACAGTTCCCAGATTTTCTCTTTTACTCCTTCCAGCGAGTGGGCCTCCGTGTTTTTGGAGTAGAGGGAGTTGTAAGAGTCACCTGCTGTGTGAAATCCGCAGGGAGTCTGGGGCTCTTATGTTTGAAGGCTTTCTGTCAGAACTCAGATTTTAGACTAATAATTACCCCTCGTACCTGTGTTCTTTGAGCTGCCAGTTCCTGAGCCTTTTGGGGAGTCCGCAGGTGACCTGGGGTTCTTCTTGGCCTCTCCTGCTGTTGTCCTAGCGCTCAGCTTTCTCAGGATTGCAGAGACAGTCACTGTGCACACATATCCTTTCCAACTTCCAAAATTAGTTGCCTTTTTTATTTGATGTTATGGATTTATAGCTTTAAAAGAGTCCCTTTTTAAAAAACTGACATTTCAAAAGTGTTTCAGGAGGAAAGAAGGAGGAATGATTGTGTTCAGTCTACTCTCTTTACCCCAGATTTTCTTTTTTTTTTCTCCCTAAAGATTGGCACCTGAGCTAACAACTGTTGCCAGTCTTCTTCTTTTTTTTTTCCTGCTTTATCTCCCCAAACCCCCCCGCCCCATACATGGTTGTATATCTTAGTTGCAGGTCCTTCTAGTTGTGGGATGTGGGACGCCGCCTCAATGTGGCCTGACGAGCGGTGCCATGTCCGCACCCAGGATCCGAACCCTGGGCCGCCACAGCAGAGCGCACAAACTTAACCACTCGGCCATGGAGCCGGCCCCATACCCCAGATTTTCTTAATCTTTATGCATATTAGTTGAATAGATCTAAGGAATAAATAAACCAAATATCTCAAATATTTACTAATTGAAGAAACTTTGACAGTTTTTATTTACTTAGTTTTTGATTTCCAGAATAACAATATCAAATATTAATTATGGGATTTTTTTTCTCCCCAAGGAAGATAAAACATTAAATTATACAGGCTATATATTGATACCTACTGGATTCTTCATTTTTTTGAATAAAATATTTTACTAAAGTATAAAATACAAAAGTATAAAACACATACAAAAATGCGTACAAATCCTACATGTTTAGTGTGATGACTTTTCACAAGTGAACACATATGTGTTACCAGCGTCCAGATCTAGATGTACCTAGGAGCTGTGCTGAGCTGCTCAGAATCAGCCTTTCTTACAGTCAAAGGGTGCTGTGCTCGCAGCCTGGAAGTGAGTGGGCATGGAATTTTTCTCTGCTGTGTAAGAAATTCTGATTCTCATTGATGCAACTCTCCATTGTGTTGGTTGCCATTTAATCCTGGCGGAGCAAAGAAGCAAAAGCCCTGGCTTCCTCACTGTTTTGTTTCGTGTTTTCCCCATGCAATACTAGAACTTAAGTGTATTTCTCTTTGTCCACAGACTGGGGGGGGATATAAAGGAGCTCAGCAGTCCCTTGGAGTTCCTTCCTAGGAGGGAAGCTCAGTTCTTCCCCTAGCCCTGAGAGAACTACAGGGTTACATTCTGTCCCTAGTATCTGATTAGTTTCTTCCCTTCTCTACTGTGTGGAATTCCTCCCTGTGTGGATTACCTCCCGAATATGTGAATAACAGTCCCCGTTTCCTGGGAGAGAAAGAGGAATTGAATGGAGAGGATATAAGCCAACGGAAACTACAACATGGTCTCAAAGCAGTGTTTCTGATGGGTCAGGCAGCTCTTTAGGGCTGCAAGGGCCACACAGCCACGTGTGTGCCAGGACAGCCACCGTCTCGGAGCACCAGGTCGTTGAAGGGCCCCACAGAAGCCCGGTCTTGGAGAGCTAGGTTGCATGTAGGTGCTGTCCTCAGCACAACAACTAGAAGTTTCTTGGTATGCCTTATTTGATGCTGTGAGGGAGGCGTGGGCTTTTGAAGCCCTTTTAGGTTAGATCCCTGGATTTCATTAAGAAGGCCCACCTGTGTTTGGTGCTGCAACCTCAGTTGGCATCACACACAGGGAAGAGTAACAGAAGTCCTCTTTTATGAAAAGTGACCCTCAGTACTTGGTTTATTTAACGCCCCCCGCCCCGACATTATAGGAAACGGTTGTATAAATCATTGTTGGAAGGAGGGGAGGAAGGAGAGGTGTAGCCCGTAAGCCGGCAGTTTCATCACAGTGTAGTAAATGCTGGGAAGGGTCTCTGGGAGAGAGACGTAAAGGAAATGTGAGCCTAGCCTTAGGGTCTCCTATGGTAAGTAAGGGGATGTCAGTACTTGTACATATAATAAAGCCAGAAGCATGGAAATTTTTGTTAAGCATTTCTTCCTGCTCCTTTTTTTAACATTTCAGTATTTCAAGGGAACTTTAGGATTACAGCCTGGAGATTCAGCGCTGTTCATCAATGGACTTCATATTGATTTAGATACACAAGATATATTCAGGTATGGATAATGTTTTTCATTCTCTGAAAAGTTTGTATCATGTGTAGCTCCTTGTGATGTGTTCAGATTGGTGTTCCTCCTTGATGTGGCTTGTTGCGAAGCCTGACGGCTTGCAGGCTCGGTGCGTTGTGTTCATGTGGGCCGATGTTCTCACCGGGCTGGGCAGGAGGATACTTTGCCATTTTTTATCATAATGTACACATTTAAGGCCTTGGGCATTTAGGGTCCAGTGTTTCTTGAGGACGCCCTTTTAGAGCTATTGTTGTCCTGTTAACCATAGAAATAGAAAAGAGCAGCGTTTTTTGCTTCTGGGAACAGTGTGAAGTAGATTTATTTGAAATACTGTCTTTGGTGTCTCAGAAGGTGTTCTGTCTTACATATATTATGTAAATACTTACCTTTTTGTTTTGTTAAAATGTGGTTCAGGACTAAATTGCTCTAAATTGTCCTCATGAATTTTTGTGGGGAGCAGTGGACAGATTTTATCCTTGGAATTGAAATGGACACAGTTTACACTCTGGCTTCATAAATGTAAACACAAAAGCTGTTGCTAATGCTGCAGAAGGAGCGGTTTCCACAGTAAGATGTTTCTCACGTTAATTATTTTAATTGAGCTTTTATGTCCACATATCGCTTTACAGAGCTCGTGAAAAATTAGTGAAGGACATTTTAAAAGATTACCCATATTTTTCGCTAAAATATATATGTATATCTTGAGTACTTGCTCATTATAAACAATTTTAAATAATACAGAGATGAAGGAACCTTATAAGAAGTAAATTCTTCATCCCATCTTCTTATTTGTTCCTCCTCCCCCAGCAAACCTCTGAGTGGGCTGTGAATTTCTCCAGACCCTTTCCTGTGGTTATATGTGTGTGTACCTGTGTGAATTGATACTGATATTGAAACATACATTAAAGATATATAACCTATTATTTCTTTTCTTTGTTTTTAATAAACTCTTTATTTTGAGATAATTGTAGATTCATATGCATTTGGAAGAAATAATACAGAGCGATTCCGTAGAGTAACACAGAGAGTGTTTTTGAAAACATGCAATGTAAAATCCGGGTTTAGGATGGTTTCATCCTCAAATTGTGTGTTTATATTTAGAGAAGTTTTACACACAGTGTATAGGAATACGTTGACAAGTGTAAGTAAATGTGACCCGAGACCCAAGTCCTGCCTACTTTGTTCTGCATACTTGACAAGATGGAGCAAGGAGAACAGCTCCCTCTTTTGGTCCCTTAACTGGTTTGACAGGGCATTGAGTTTGAACTGATCAGTTGTTTTCATGGTGAGGATTTTTTTTAAAGCTTTTTCTGTTAAACACCTTTTTTTTTTTTTTTTTCCAGTCTGGTTGATGTCTTGAAGAATGAAGCTCGGGTAATGGAGGGTCTGCACAGACTGGGAATAGAAGGCCTTTCTCTGCATAATGTTTTGAAACTGAACACCCAGCCCTCTGAGGCCGACTATGCCGTAGACATCAGGAGTCCTGCTATTTCAGTACGTATTCCGTTAGCGTGTCCGCGAGGCCTTCTAGCCAGGTATTTTATTACAGTTTTTGCATTTGTCTTTTATGAGAGTAAGTTATTCCTACCACTCTTTTGTTGACATCAAACGAAGATTTACAACAATTGCTTGTATGTGGCTATGTGTACATTATGAAGTAGGCTCTCAAATGCTCCAGAAGGTTGAGTTATTATGTTTAGTGTGGTTAAGACAGTGATGCTTTTCCACTTTCCTATCCCCCAGAATTCAGCTAAGCATCTCTTGGGAAAGAGTGTTTGGTTTGTATTTTCTCGACTGCATACAAGTCTTGTGGGATTTTGTTTAAAAATTTCGATTTTTAGCCAGTAGCCTTCTTTAAAACGACTTTAGCATTTTATATGTGAAGGATTTATATAGATTAATATCTGCTGTATGATGGCTCTGAGCCTTTGTCTCCTCATCTGTAAAAGACAATGGAGGGAATAGAGCTATCTTGGGCAGTGGTGGTAAAAGTGAGAGCAGTGTGAGGTGTGCTGATCACACCGTTGGCGCTCTAGTTCTTTTTCTTTGGTTTTTGTACTGCATTTATTTTAGGGGAATGTTTTTTTATTGCAGTTATATTGGTTTATAACATTGTATAAATTTCGGGTGTACATCATTATATTTCGATTTCTGTGTAGATTACATCATGTTCACCACCCAAAGACTAATTACAATCCATCACCACACACGTTCCTAATCACTCCTTTTGTCTTCCCCCCTCCCCTTTTCCCCTCTTGTAACCACCAATCCAATCTCTGTTTCTATGTGTTTGTCGTCGTTTTTATCTTTTACTTAGGAGTGAGGTCATATGGTATTTGACTTTCTCCCTCTGACTTATTTCACTCAGCACAATACCCTCAAGGTCTATCCATGTTGTCACAAACTGCTGTATTTCATCATTTCTTATGGCTGAGTAGTTTTCCATTATGTATACATACCGCATCTTCTTTATCCATTCGTCCCTTGATGGGCACCTAGGTTGCTTCCAGATCTTGGCTATTGTGAATAATGCTGCGATGAACATAGGGGTGCATGTATCTTTATGTATTCGTGTTTTCCTGTTCTTTGGATAAATACCCAGCAGTACTGGATCATATGGTAGATCTATTCTTAATTTTCTGAGGAATCTCCATACTGTTTTCCATAGTGACTGCACCAATTTGCACTCCCCCCAGCAGTGTACAAGAGTTCCCTTCTCTCCCCCTCCTCTCCAACACTTGTTATTTCCTGTCTTGTTAATTCTGACAGGTGTGAGGTGATATATCACTGTAGTTTTGATTTACATTTCCCTGATAGTTAGTGATGTTGAACATCTTTTCATGTGCCTGTTGGCCATCTGTATATATTCTTTGGAGAAATGTCTGTTCAGATCTTTTGCCCGTTTTTTAATTGGGTTGTTAGTTTTGTTGTTGTTGAGATGTATGAGTTTTTTATATATTTTGGATATTAACCAATTAACAGATATATGGTTTGCAAATATCTTCTCCCAGTTGTTAGGTTGTCTTTTTGTTTTGTTGATGGTTTCCTTTGCTGTGCAGAAGTTTTTTAGTTTGATGTAGACTCATTTGTTCATTTTGTGTATTGTTTTTGAGGGAAATTTTTTTTAAGGAAATAATGTAGAATGTAGATGATCCTTACTTGAGTTCTCACTTGGTGATATAATTGTTATTTTGATGAATACTGTTATGTCATTTGTTTTTCTGTTAAAAATGTTTTTAATTACAAGGAGTAAAGAGATTAACATAATTAACAACCATATGACCCATCACTGTACTTACTAAATGTTAACATTTAATCATTTTGTGTCAGATCTGTTGTTTTCTTGGAAGAAAAAAATGTTTCGATCAAAGCCCTCTTTATATCTCTTCCCAGTTCCACCCCCTCCTCCCTGCAGATAATTCCTCTTCTGAAGTTGTGCATTCCTCCTGTCCCTTATTTTATCTTTTTATTTCCAATTGGATGTTTTAAAAATCTGAAAAATGCCATATCAGTATCCTTCATCAATTTGCTTTATTTTTTTCAAGACTTGCGTAGGTTGATACATATAGATCTAGTTTATCAGATCATGTTTTATATTTTACTTTCTTTTAAAAAATCTTTCATACATTCACAGTTTAAAATTTAAGACATACAAAGGGGATATATTGAAAAGTCTCATCACCCAGCTGTCCATTGTTTCTCCCCAGAAGCCACAGGCATTATCAGTTACTTGTGTATCCTTCCAGAAAGGCTCTGTGTTTACACGAGCAAGGTAGTATACACACACTTTCTTACTCTGCCCTTTTTGTATGAATGGTACACACTGTTTGCTTATCCATTGCTCTCTTTATGGAGGTTAAGTTCTTTCTGAGTTTTTGCTGCTGTAAGCGGTACTATAATGGCTCTTTCTGTACCTCTGTCAGTGTGCATACATATGAGAATTCGTATGGGGTAGATGTCTAGAACTGGAGTACTCATTGGTAGGGTAGTAGTAAAGTCTTCAACTTTATTTGGTCGTCTTCTCTAAAGTGACTGTTCCGGACACCTGCATTGGGTGGGAGTTCCCAGTGCTCTATATCTTTGCCTCTTCTTGGATATTGACACACTTTTAAGATTTTTTTGTTTAATGAGTGTGAAATTTCATTGTGGGTTTAGTTTATATTTCTCAGATTACTAGTGAAGGTGTACATCTTTCCTTGTGTTAATTGCCTGCTTGAATTTCTTCTGTAAATTTCTTATTCATATTCGTGACTCATTTCTGTTTCTCATATGTTGCTTGTCTTTTTTTATTGATATGTTAGATTGCTATACGTATTCTTCACACTAGTCCTTTATTTGTTTTGTAGGTTGCAAATATCTTCTATTCTGTGACTTGTGTTTTAGTCCCTTATTTTTCTATTTGATCTTTAGATTTTTAAAAATGGCCTTTTCCCATGTGATTCTTCTTTAAAAAATTTAAAGCCTTATTGTTATTTCTGCAGATTTCCTTAATGGTAACTGAAGTGTATGCCCCATGTTGTGTTATTTTTTCTTAGTGGATCAACAACCTGGAGGTTGATAGCAGGTATAATTCATGGCCTTCTAGTCTACAGGAGTTGCTTCGACCCACCTTTCCTGGTGTGATCCGGCAGATCAGGAAGAACTTGCATAACATGGTAAGTGAGACTCCTTGTGTCTGGCTGTGAACTCTTTCTGCCTTGCCTTCTTCCCTACCTTTTTGTCATATCTAGAATGTTCGTATCTCTCCTTTGCTAGCTGCTTCTCCCCACCATTACCACCATGAAATAGGCTCTTTTTCTAGTCCCGAATTCAAACTGAAAGGGTTTTGACAGTATCGATCATTTGTAGGGCTGTGAGATGTCAATGGATGAGGAAATGCTCCTCACTCTTAACCTGGAGGTTTAGACTCTGTTGTTTTAGTTTTAAGATAGTTCTCCTTTTCACTCAGAAGATGAATATGTTGCTGCTGTTTTTCTTGAATATCTTAAGCCCTAAAATTTAATAGTTCAGTTTATTCCCTTAAATAAGTCTTTCCATTAGCTCCTACTTGTTCTCCTCTCCCTCTTGTTGTTCTCTCTTTTTTTTTTTTTTTTGAGGAAGATTAGCCCTGAGCTAACTGCTGCCAATCCTCCTCTTTTTGCTGAGGAAGACTGGCCCTGAGCTAACATCCGTGCCCATCTTCCTCTACTTTATACATGAGACGCCTACCACAGCATGGCGTGCCAAGTGGTGCCATGTCCGCATCCGGGATCCGAACTGGCCAACCCCGTGCTGCCGAAGCGGAACATGTGCACTTAACTGCTGTACCACCGGGCCGGCCCCTCTGGTTGTTCTTTATTTCACAGCTCTGGAGAGAGAGGAGGAGCAGTCTTAGTTGGTCCTCTTTCCCTCTCATTTCTTCCCTCAGAGCTCGTAGAGAGAGAGGGCAGGTCGGCCCCCTCAGAGCGCGCAGGGAGAGCTGTCCTCTCTGCCTCCTCACTCCTGAAACCGCTCTAAGCACATCATGAGCGTGCGATACACTGCAGCTATGACTGTGCTCTAAAAAGGGGTTCTAAATGAATTCTTAGTTCAGAGATCCTTAGACATGAATACACAAAAGCTGATCTCCATTTTCGAAGGTGAGAGAGTTAATAAAACTTGGATTTTGTTAGATGTAGTAAAAGCATAGGTATTAGCAATCTGGAGTGTGTAATTCCCCTGTCATCAGCATAAGACCATGAGAAGATCACTTCGCCTTTCAGTGCCACGTCCTTTGCACATAAAGGGGGGTGGCTGCTGTTTGTATAATTCCTCTTCTATCTGGTTCAGCAGTAGCTGGAAAAAGATTGCCATGAAGTATAAAGACTAAGGACATTGTTACTGGCCCAGAGCCATTTGAATAAATGTCATTTCCTGTGTTCCTTTCCTTTTCCCCCTAGGTTTTCATAGTTGATCCTGCTCATGAGACCACAGCGGAGTTGATGAACACAGCTGAGATGTTCCTCAGTAATCATATACCACTAAGGTAACAGTTGGATTGATTTGATGATGTATCTGATTTAGCTGAGGTTTGGTTTGTCATTCTTAAATGCAAGGCTAGTGCTACTGAATTATAGAAGAATTAACAGTGGGAATCATGAATGTTGGTTTTATCTTTTGCTCAGTATGAACCTGGTATCTTTTGGGACAGAGAATTTGATTCCAATGAAAATAGGCTTACTACCATTGAATTATTAATAAATAGCATGTGTAAAAATAGTTTGTGGTCTCAATGTGCTTCTCAGTGAGAGGGAATTTTCCTAGGGGAGTATCCACATCACAAAGCCTTTTCCACTTTCAGCAGAGGTAAAGAGCTTTGCCAACAACTCTGTTAGACTGTCAAGGACTAAATATATACACACCTTTTTTTTTTTGAGGAAGATTAGCCCTGAGCTAACATCTGCTGCCAGTCCTCCTCTTTTTGCTGAGGAAGACTGGCCCTGAGCTAACATCCATGCCCATCTTCCTCTACTTTATATGTGGGACACCTGCTACAGCATGGCTTGACAAGCAGTGCGTAGGTCTGCACCCGGGATCCGAACTGGCGAACCCTGGGCTGCCAAAGCAGAACGCGCAAACTTAACTGCTGCGCCACTGTGCTGGCCCTATACATACCTTTTTTTTAGATGCAAACAGACAGTTTATTTCATTTGTGTTGCCAAATCTACCAACAGGGTACTTGAATGGCTGGGTTTCCACTGTGCCTTTTAAGAACAATGTTTTAAGGTTTTATATATAGTTGTTAAGATATTCTCACTTACATTCTGAATAACATCTGGTAATTTTACATGTTGACAAAATTTCTTAGAAAACATGAAAATAAAGAAGAAAAGAAGTCTGTAACTAACAAATGTTGTTGTGTATTCTCTACCTAGTGCTGAGCTAAATGCTGTGAATGGTATATGAGCCACATTCCTATCTTCTTGGAAAAAAATACTCTGCATACTTTCAGACACTTTAAGAAGGTGTATGTTTAAGTGCTAGGTTATGGCCTACTAGTTTTAATTGCTTTAGAATTTCAGAGAAACAAAAGATTATAGACTGAGATATTTGGGAAAGACAAAGGTTTCATGGGAAAGTTGAATTTCAGATAGGCTTTGAAGAGAATAGAGGGTTTTCCTTGGTGGTAAAGCAGAGATTTTGAGTTTAATGAAATTTTTCACGTAAAGTGTGAATACCACCTGGTTAGATGGAGGAATAAACTACTGGATTACTGCCAGAGCTATGTTTCGATTAAAAGAGAAATATAAGAACACAGAAGGAGTTGGCTCATGGTACACAGTGGGCACTGATGACATATTTGCTGAGTTGCATTGACGGACACAAAAAGGGAGCGTGGTCTTCAGATTGCAAAGATAGGTGAGAAGAAGGCGCTTAACTCACAGGCAAGAGAGAGGCGTGCTGTGAACAGTTTGGAGAGACCCAAGGCGGGCTGGCTGTTGTTTCACTCTTGGTTGCGGTTCATGTGCCACGCCAAGGTTTTGGGCCAAGGAGAGGAGAGGGTAAATCTGAGAGACTCCCTAGTGGTACTTGCTGGGGGACTGGGCCTGGGGGGAACAGGAGAAGTCGGAATTTGGGGCTTAGCTATTAGAAAAACTCTGATGCCCTTTCCAGAAATTGGAAACTTGGGAAGGGGTATTACTTTGTGAGGAGATAATTAGGTTCTAGTACCCCCTTTTTTATAAGAATAATATTTAGGTCATTTCTGTCTTAAGTCTACTCATGATTTCTATCATAAGTGGGATTTTAAAAAACAAAGACAATTTTCATCTAAAAACAAACCCTCTTGCCACCCCCATCCATGTGTACAGATATTTTACACATGCCTCCCAAGAGCATGATGTAATGTGTATATTTTCTTCTTCTATTTTTAGGCTATACCTTTTAAAATTTTAATTAATAGGCTTTGTATTTTTTAGAGCAATATTGACTGTTTAACCGGTATTGATGCATTATTATTAACTAATGTCCATGATTTACTTTAGGGTTCGTTGTTTTGCATTGTACATTCTTTGGGTTTTGACAGACGTGTAATGACATATTTCTACCATTACAGTATGGTACAGATTAGTTTTACTGCCCTGAATGTTCCCCATGCTCAGCCTTATCTGTCCCTCCACCCAACCCTCCCAGCCCCTGGTGACCACTGATCTTTGTACTATCTCCATAGTTTTGCCTTTTCCAGAATCAGACTTATGGCCTTTTTTCCGATTGGCTTTTCACTTAGCAGTATGCTTTTAAGGTTTGCCATGTCTTTCTGTGGCTTGATAGCTCATTTCTTTTTTATCATTGAATAATATTCTACTATATGGATGTACCATAGTTCTTTTTTTCCATTCGCCTTGTTGACAAACATCTTGGTTCCTTCCAAGTTTGGAAATTATGAATAAAGCTGTAAACATTTGTGTGCAGATTTTTGTATGGATATAAATTTTCAGCTCATTTGGGCAAATACCAAGGAGTGTGATTTCTTTATCTTATGGTAAAAGTATGTTTAGTTTTGTAAGAAACTGCCACACTTCTTCCAAAGTGGTTGTACCATTTTGCATTCTCACCAGCAATGAATGAGCGTTCCTATTGTTCCACCTCCTCTCCAGAATTTGGTGGTGTTGCTGTTGTGGATTTTAGCCATTCTAATAGGTATGTAGTGGTATCTTTGTGGCTTTAATTTGAAATTTCCTAATGTCATATGATGTTGAGCATCTTTTTATATACTATTTGCTAACTGGATTGTCTTGTTTGGTGAAGTGCCTTTTCAGATCTTTTGCCCATTTTTAGCTATTTTTTTTTTATTGTTGAGTTTTAGGAGTTCTTTGTATATTTTGGATATCAGTCCTTTATCAGATATGTGTTCACACAGATTTTCTGCCAGTCTTTGGCTTGTCTTCATTCTCTTAACAGTTTCTTTCACAGAGCAGAAGTTCTTAATTTTACTGAAGTCTAGCTTATCAGTCCTTCTTGTCATGAGTTGTACTTTCGGTATTAGATCAAATAAGTCATTGCCAAACCCAAGATCACCTAAATTTTCTCCTATGTTATTTTCTAGGAAGTTTGTAGTTTTGTGTTTTACATTTATGTTTATGATCCATTTTGAGTTAATTTTTGTGAAGGGTATAAGATCTTTAGATTCATCATTTTGCATATGGATGTTCAGTTGTTGCAGCATCATTTGTTCAAAAGACTACCTTTTCTCCATTGAATTGCTTTTGCTCCAATATGGAGGCTAGTGGCATCTATATTGGCTAGTGCAAGGGTTTTTCTTGCTAGTGTGTAGATGTGTGATGGTATCTCTTTGTGATTAGTTCTTTTATTTTAAATTTTAAAATGTAATAAACTTTAACCTTGGTTGTAGCTTTTTGCTGAAGAACAATAGTAAATATTTTTATGCTTTCCACTTACGTATGATTCTCATATTGCTTATGTTAAATCTCAAAATCCCCTCTTTCCGTATGTTTTCACATTCTGAAAATTTTCACTTCTCCTAATTTTTGTTTAAAAACAGAACACAATCTCCATCTAAACCCATAGCAATGCTCTCAAAGTGTCAGTAAAAGCCTCATTTCACGAGGTGGAAACAGCTTGCTTTAACAGTTGAAAAGTCTATGCCACCTTTGGGACATGGCTTTTCTGTTCTGGAAGTGATCGATGCCTTTGCCTTTCATGTTGGAGTATGATGTGAACTGTGTTTTTCAATAGAGGATCATTTTCCTCTATTAGCTGCAGTATTTGTGGGAGTACGAGGATGCCATTCCTTTTAACTGGTTGCATTTTAACTATTGAACAAAAGCGATAAGTTTCCTTTTCTTCTTTCTGCCCTTCCTTCTCTTCTCCAGGCTTGGTTTAATCTTTGTGGTTAATGACTCTGAAGACATTGATGGGATGCAGGATGCTGGAGTGGCTGTTCTGAGAGCGCATAATTATGTCGCCCAAGAAGCGGATGATTATCATGCCTTCCAAACTCTGATACATGTATGTTTTCATTGCAAATGCCAAATAATTTTTTTAATCTAACTTATTCTGAGAAATAATATGTGGTAGGGAGATTCTATATTTCTATAAAGAGTAAGATAAATTATTCACACAAACTTTATATGTTTCCTATTTCAGGAGTTGCCTTTACTTTATTGATTCACCACTGTTAGTAATAGATTGCTGAGATTTTAGCTGAGACCAGATTCCTTGGGAGCCTTATGATGTATCTTTGTCTTCTGCCTTTTGGTGATTTCAAATCACTGATTAATGCCTTTTGATACATGTGATGTTCTCTACTTGTTTAAAAAATGTTTGCTTTTTTTTTTCTCTTTAAGACCATCATGATAGTTTAGATAAAGATTCAGTTTAATATTCAAGTCATAAAATTCTTAGTTTTTTCCATTTTAACTGCACACTCTGAAGTGCCCTGATTTTTATATGTCTTTAAGATACTTGCTCAAGTTTAAACAAAGAACTCTTCTTGTTTTCTTGTTTTTTTCCTTATTTTTGAATATAAAAATTTTGTATCAGTTGTTTTGTTTACAGATTAGTGGTAATTATTGAAAAACCATCTTTGAAGCAGTTGATTTTCAATACTTTTACTTGTAAACATGTCAGTCTTCTGTTTATTATGTTTGTTATGTTTATTATTTAGAGATTCAGTCAGAGGAGTTTTTTTATTGTTAAAACGTTCATTTGTTTATTGGCTAGTATTTATTAAAGACCCACCATTTGCCAGGCCTGGTACTAGCTGCAAGCGATACAAAGAAGAGGAAGACTTCACTTCTGTCCTTCAAGACCTTGTAGTCTTCCCCGTGGGGAAGCCTCCACGCGGATGGTCTCAAACATGTGGGAAGCCCGGCTGCCTATGGCAGCACCAGCACCTCACTCTGCTAGGGAGGGCCACGGGCGTTTTGTGGAGTGCGAAGTTGTCTCATTTGAGTGTAGGAGGAAAAACTGCGTTAGCTGAACAATGGCTGCAAATCAGGTAGTGATTCCAGCTTGTTAGTATGACTTGAGCAGAATATTATGAGAGCAGAATGGCCCACCTGGTCATTGAGGCCATTAGGCTAGGTAACAGGTGTCCAGATTGAAGTGTTAGACTCCAGTGAAAAACACCATCTGATGCATGTTTGGAGATGGATGTGATGAAGGGTGAAGACAGTGGCAGGGGTGGCCAGTTGATGAGCCATTGCTGTGATCTCTCTGCGAAGTGATGGTGAAGGTAGTTCGCAATAGGACTGTGGAGAATGCAATCAGATCAAAAGAAGTGGCTGAGGATGGTGTTTTAAAGTCTGCTTGTTAAAGTCCCCGCCCCCCCCCACCCCGCCCCGGTAGCTATGTGTATGAAGGAAAAGATAAATATGAGTTTTCATTTCTTTTTATTTTTAATTGCAAAAGTAAAAAAAATTCATTGTATGTTTATTGTAAAAAGAAATTCAAATAATATTACAGTACGTTGATTTTGAATCTCTCTGTCTCTCCCCTCCCTAATCCTGCTGCATAGAGGTAACCACTATAGAGCCACTTTAAAGGTCACCTTGTAAACCTTCTGGATGTTTAGCTGTATGTGTACAGACAGTTTTGTTGTTTGTTTGTTTTTTTTCTTGAGGAAGATTAGCCCCGAGTGAACATCTGCTGCCAATCCTCACATTTTTGCTGAGGAAGATTGGCCCTAAGCTAACGTCTGTGCCCATCTTCCTCTACTTATGTGTGTTTTTTAAAAACAGGGAGTATGCCATACATGTTTTGCAACTTTTTCCCCTTGAACATCATGCACATAAGTTCTTATTTCAAGGATTATTTGTAAGTATTCAGATTTTTAAAAAACTAATCAATTTTTGCATTTGAGACTTAGTGTGATTGTGAACTGATTGTGTCATTTTAAGAATATGTAGTTTCTAATGTAAGAAGACGTCTTAAGGAGGTCATATGAAAAAGGGAGAATTGCTAATCTGTCCCATTTGACCTTTAAGAAAAATAGCCATGTTTTCCTCTACATTCAGAAATCTTTGATAGTAAACACTCTGAAATCTAGATTTAAAAGTGTAGTTGGTTACCTGGTTTTTCTTTCTTCAGATATATAACAAAGTAAGAACTGGAGAAAAAGTGAAAGTTGAACACGTGGTCAGTGTCCTGGAGAAGAAATATCCATATGTAGAAGTAAACAGCATTTTGGGGATTGACTCTGCTTATGATCAAAATCGGAAGGTAAAAACTCCTTTGGTGCTTCTCCTTTGACCGCAGCACTGTGCTTTCCTCACCTCCCTTTTTTGGGGTTGTTGTTAATAGAGGTGGTGGTGGATAAAGTATTTAGGTACTTAGCGTTTAAACATTTAGCACTTTTCTGTTTGCAATGTAGTGTATATTTCAATTTTGTGAAGATACTATTGATTCATAGCTGGCACATTAACTATTGAGTTGTACGACAGTCTCTGTTTCACAGAGCATTGGCAGTGCTTGTGTGATAGGTGTTCCGGCTAACATCTGTTGGTCTATGCTGCGTGCTTGCCAGGATGCGATGTGTGGCTTCATGTGTGTCATTTATCCAGTTGTTTAGGCTAAAGATGGAAATGTATTAAACAGAATGGCAAAGTGTGATAATGAAGACATAGGGAAAAATTTAAAATTTTTTATTTAAAGATAAGTGTTTCTTGTGAGACATTAAATACACTAAAGGACCTTTATCTATTGCAAGCAGGAATGAGGGGTCAGTTTATTGAGAATAAATGTTAAGGCAAGGAATCAAACTACATTTCCAAAACATTTTAATATAAAACAATGAAAGAGTATTTATTTACCAACTTTTTTTTGAATGAAGGACAAGGCCTTTGGTTCTTCTGTTTGGAGATCCGAGCTATCATTCCTTAAACCATCGTAAAGAATTGTTTGTGATTTCTGTGTCATCTGAGTACAGACTCCATCTAGATTTTTATAATCTCCCTCCCAAGTCTTCTACAGTTGTCGTACCCGCACCTAATTCAGCATCCAGTGTTTTTAGCCTTTCACTTGTTTGAATGTTTCTAATCATTCATTTTGTTTTCTGGGGAGACCAACCTTTCCTTTTTGCACTCTTATTTTGTTGGTTTGCATGATATTAAATTATGTGTTTTCACTAAGAAAAACAGTTGTTTTTGGAACAGACACAGTTGATCTTTGGTAAACACATAGCTCAAATGAGGGGAGCAAGTGTGTGCATTCTCGAGAGAAGCTCCCCACGGTAAGGCTCAGTGTGCTTTCAGAGCGAGTATTTGTTGCCATTAACGTGGTCAGTTGAGATTGGGTAAGAGATCTGCTACGGTAAGTTGATCCAGGTTTCAGAGGGATTAACAAAATACTCTTTAGTAAGAACAAAACACAAGAACTTAACGACTAGAGAAGTTTCTGAAATAAAGACAAAATTTTAATTTTAAACACATATAATAGTACTGGGTAACTTTTCTGTGCCAGCCCTGATACTAAAAAGTTGAGTAAGAGGTGGCACCCACATTGGGACATCACACAGCCTAGTGGGGGGGACACACAGTAAGAACAGTAAGGCTTTGGAGATCATGAAGTTGGTGGAGTTTGCACCCTGTAGGTGGAAGGTCTCCAGGAGGGAGGGGCAGCCCTGCCAGTCTGGGACAAGGTGATTACTGAGGGCTTGCTGGAAGAGGCGACACTTGCTGCCCTGCGAGTGAAAGTTTTTAGAGGGATAAATATGAGATTAAAACACAAAGCACCACAGGTTTATTATATGTGTAAATTATTACTTCTGTAAAAAAAGCAAAACTAATTAAAATACTGGTTCTCTACTAATAATTTTGAAAAGCTAAATTCATACCTGGAACTAGCGGATCTATGCTGATGACAGCTGGTTTGCCTTCTTCCTCTTTCCCGCAGATTGCGTGCTGCAGTGGTTTTTCGTAGCCAGTGATGAGGAATTTCACCCCAGCTTTGGTGACGTGTGATTGACATGTAACACTGTTAGTTGGAGGTATACGGTGTGTTGGTTTGATACCTGATTACCGCACTGGCGGGAGTTAGCACTTCCATCACCTCGCATAATTACCGTTTCTTTTTTGTGGTGAGAACATTTAGGGTCTAGTCTCATAGCAGTTTTCAAGTATATAATGCAGTGTTCACCTTTCCCCACATCTTCACCAACACTTATCTCATCTTTCTGACAGGTGTGAGGTGATATCTCATTGTGATTTTGATTTGCATTTCCCTGATGTTTAGTGACATTGAACCCCTTTTCATGGGCCTGTTGGCCATCTGTGTGTCTTTGGCAAAATAACTCTTTACTTTCTCTGCCCATTTTTTAATTGGACTGTTTGTTTTTTTGCTGTTGAGTTTATGAGTTTCTTACATATTTTGGATATTAATCCCTTATCAGATATATGATTTGCAAATATTTCTTCCATTCTGTAGATCGCCTTTTCATTTTTTGATTGTCTCTTGCTGTACAGAAGCTTTTGATTTTCACGTAGTCCCACTTGCTTATTTTTGCTTTTGTTGCTTATGTTTTTAGTGTCATATCTAAAAAAGTCATTGCCAAGACCAATGTCAAGGAGCTTTTTCTCTCTGTTTCCTTCTAGGGGTTTTATGGTTTCGGGTCTTATGTTGCAGTCTTTAATCCATTTTGAATTAATTTTTGTAAGTGGTATAAGATAGGTGTCCAGTTTTTTTCTTCTGCATGTGATTATCCAGTTTCCCCAGCGCTATTGAAGAGACTATCTTTTCCCCATTGAGAACTTGGATCCCTTGTCAAACGTTAGTTGACCATGTATGCAAGGGTTTATTTCTAAGTTCTTGATTCTTTTCCTTTGGTCCGTGTGTCTGTTTTTGTGCCAGTACCATGCTGTTTTGATTACTGTAATTTTGTAGTGTAGTTTGAAATCAGGAAGTGTGATACCTCCAGCTTTGTTCTTTCTCAGGATTGCTTTGGCTTTTTGGGGTCTTTTTTGGTTTCATATAAATTTTAGGATTGTTTTTTCTATTTCTGGGAAAAATGCCATTGGAATTTTTATACGGATTGCATTGAATCTATAATGGCTTTGGGTAGTATGAATATTTTTATTTCGTTTTTTGTGTGTGAGGAGGATTAGCCCTGAGCTAACGTCTGTTATCAGTCTTCCTCTTTTTGCTTTAGGAAGATCGTCGCTGAGCTCACATCTGTGCCAATCTTCCTCTATTTTATGTGCGATGCCGCCACAGTGTGGCTTGATGAATAGTGCTAGGTCTCTGCCTGGAATCCGAACTTGTGAACCCTGGGCTGCTGAAGTGGAGTGCGCGAACTTAACCACTATGCCACCGGGCCAGCCCTAAGGAACATTTTAACAATGTTAATTTTTCTGAATCATGGAGCACAGGATATCTTTTCATTTTTTGTGTCATCTTCAGTGTTTTTCATCGAAGTCTTGTAGTTTTCAGTGTCTAAATCTTTCACCTCTTTGGTTAAATTTATTCCTAAATATTTTATTGTTTTTCATGCTGTTGTGAGTGAGATTGTTTTATCTTTTTCAGATATTTTGTTGTTAGTGTATGGAAACGCACCTGATTTCTGTATGTTGATTTTGCATCCTGCAGCTTTACTGAATTCATTGATTATTTCTAACAGTTTTTTGGTGGAGTCTTTAGGATTTTGTATATATTAGATCATTTCATTTGCAAACAAAGGCAGTCTTACTTCTTCCTTTCTGATGTGGATGCTTTTTACTTATTTTTCTTGTCTCGAGGCTCTGGCTAGGACTTCCAGTATTATGTTGAATAGCAGTGGTGAGAGTGGGCATCCTTGTGTTGTTCCTGGTCTCAGAGGCATGGCTTTCAACCTTTTACCTTTGAGTATGGTGTTAGCTGTGGGCTTGTCATATATAGCTTTTATTATGTTTAGGTATGTTTCTTCTGTATCCAATTTGTTGAGCATATTTATCCTCAAAGGATATTATATTTTGTCAAATGCTTTTTCTGCATCTATTGAGATGATCATATGATTTTTATCTTTTATTCTTTTAATGTGGTGTGTCACATTTATTGATTTGTGTATGTTGAACCGTCCTTTCATCCCAGGGATAAATCAAAGTTGATTATAGTATATGATCCTTTTAATGTGCTGGTGAATTTAGTTTATTAATATTTTGTTGAGAATTTTTGCATCTATATTAATCAGGGATATTGGCCTATAGTTTTCTTTTAGTGTCCTTATCTCTCTTTGTTATCAGGGTAATGCTGACCTCATGAAATGTGTTTGGGAGTGTTCTGTCGTCTTCAATTTCTTGCAAGAGTTTGAGAAGGATTGGTATTAATTCTTCTGTAAATGTTGGGTAGAATCTACCAGGGAAACCATGTACTCCTGGGCTTTACTTTGTTGGGAGGTTTTTGATTACGGATTCAAACTCCTTACTCATTATTGGTCTGTTCAGATTTTCTATTTCTTTGTGATTCATTCTTGGTAGATTGTGTTTCTAGGAATTTATCCATTTCTTCTAGGTTGTCTGATTTTTGTGGTGTATAATTGTTCATAGTAGTCTCTTGTGATCCTTTGTATTTCTGTGTTATCAGTTGTAATATCTTTTGTTTCATTTCTGATTTTGAGTTTTTTCTCTTTTTCTCAGTCCAACTAAAGGTTTGTCAATTTTGTTTCTCTTTTCAAAAAAACCAGCTCTTAGTTTTGTTGATCTTTTCTGTTGTTTATCTGGTCTCTATTTCTTTTATTTTTGCTCTGATCTTTATTTCCTTTCTTCTGCTAACTTTGAGCTTGATTTGTTCTTTTGTTTCTAGTGTGTCATGGTGTCAAGTAAGGCTGTTTATCTGAGATCTTTCCATTTTCTTAAGATAGGCATTTATTGCTATAAACTACTCTGTTAGAAGTGCTTTTGCTGCATCCTGTAAGTTTTGGTATGTTATGTTTCCATTTTCCTTTGTTTCAAGATAATTTTTTGGTTCCCCTTTTGATTTCTTTTTGACTGGTTGTTAGGGAGTGTGTTCTGTAATTTCCACATATCTGTGAATTTTCCAGCTTTCTTCCTGTTACTGATTTCTAGAATGTTATGTTTGCTTGAGAAGAATGTGTATTCTGCTTCTGTTGAATGGAATGTTATATATATGTCTGTTCGATCCATTTGGTCTAAAGTATAATTCAGTTCCAATGTTTCCATATTGATTTTCTGACTGGATTATTTATGCATTGTTGACAGTGAGGTATTGAATGCCCCTACAAACATTGTGTT